AGAAGACCATAAGATTTCACCCAAAAAATCCTGCAGCAAGTATTTTGAAACTGAATTACATCTAAGCATCCAGCACAGAAACATCCTTAGTGTAAATCACCTAATCCTGGATTAAGCCTTAAAATATGAAAAAACAGTCATAATTTTTGTTCTGAAAACTGGTAGAGTACGCAAGCCTCACCAGTACATCAGGGTGACACGTTGACAGCACAGCAGGATGAATTATTAAGGGGTGGTACTCGTCCATACACGTTCCCATCTTTACTACACCTAATTGTAAGTACACAAATGACAATACAATTCATTCAAATATTTCAGTTTTGAAGATTTGTTTCTACACTAATATCTGTTAAAATACAAACACAAAATCCCATTTATTGTTTTCTGTACGGAAATAATTCTAGCAATCTGAGCGTTTTTATAATTATTTACATAGGAAATGTTAACTTACAACTAATACTGAAGGGTTATTCCTACAAGGAAAAGAATTCATAGTCACATTGACTATATCCCCATTTCTGCTGTGTAACATTCTCTTTTTGCTCTTTCCCCCTTGTTTTGGTATCATCAGATCCAGGGATTTATCAGATCCAAGGACATCTGGATAGATGAGCTCAACAGAAAAGTTTCACATGCCATTTATTTATTATCATATTCTAAAATTTTATATCAGTGTCATATTTGAAAGGAACCAGAAATAACCTAAGGTCTGCAAGTGTTTTCAGAGTAAGAATCTGCCCATATATATTCCTTACTTCTTGTTTGAACACTGTAAACCACATTTTCCAAAGCTGCTTCTATACTTGGTGTAATCACAAACTTTAGAAGGGGCAAAACATAAGGCTGGTCATCTTAAATGCTGCCATACTACATTCATAAAGATAGTACTTTTATATTGTATTAAAGCATGAAAATCAGTTAGCTAAAATCATATTAAGAAAAAAAAAAAAAAAAACCACATTCAAATCACCTTCAAAACTCAAATCTTGTAACTTTTATTTAAAAATAGCTTTGAAACTTTGTTACTTATTTATGCTGCTACTGATGGCTGATGTTTATCCATCAAACATGTAAAGAATAGATAATAGACTAAACCTATGATTGTAAAATTCATTAACGCTTGTAAGAGAAGCTTCTCACAAAACTAAATACCAAGCTTTTCTCTTAGTCTCTGTTCAAGATCTCTCATGGCTGATCTTTAAAAACTATTTGATGACAAATTTGACATGATGAGTCTTAAAACATGACATAAAAATACTTTTAAAAATTATTACTGTAAGTGCACAGATGTTTCTTTTCAGCGCAAAAGAAAAACAATTTCAATCCCCCATTAAAACAATTTTAATTTGAAATTTTAAGTACCAGAAATCAACAATCTAACAAAATAAAGACACAATACGAGATAGGAAGCTTCATAGCCCACCTTTCTTCTTGACTGGCATTCTTCCTACTTCTCAATCTGGTTGCAAGCACTTATTTACAGGTGTATAATGACGTACTACTGGAACACTTTGCGAGCTCAGGAACTGGCTATCTATTGCAAAACACTTTTACAGTTCAGTCAGGAAATGTAGCTTCAATCTTCATTTCTATCAGTACTTGCAGTTTTCTTGTACTGGACTTCCGATGCTTCACACAAATAAGACAAAAAAAAGGGGGGAAAAGAAGGTTTTTGATTTTTTTTTTAAGAGATGCTTTCAATTTCTTTAAAATATATTTGAATCTATAAAAATAAAAGACAAAACGTTCCTTGGCAATATAAAACCTTATTATAAGTCCTCTTCTGGCAGCACAGTTTGAAAATTAAAAGATTTTATGTAATACAATTAAGGCACAGTCCATCTCTAGTCAGCTGTCTTAATAATCCACCTGTACATGCTCAAAAAACATATTATTTGCAGGACAAAAATGCCCAAATAATCCAAGTATGGAGGAAGACAAAAATAATCCAGAGTGACTCTTTAACTTCTTTCACTTCTTGAATGAATTTTGCTAGCTATGTATTAGGTGACTACACATCAGACTGAAAAGATCCCTTTTTTCTCACCAGACAGCCTTCAAGTATCACCCTTTTACCCAAGAGAAGTCACTGGCCAGTCACTTTCATTTTTATTATCTGCAAGCCACCCAGCCTTACTGTCTTTAATGTCCCTCTGATCCTCCCATGTATTAAAAGAGAGGATTGAAAACGAGGAAAGCAATCCCTTGACCTGGAATTATTAAAGTGACAGTGCTGCTCACTGGGCACTATGGCAAAGCAGATTGCTTTGTACTGGAGTCATTTACTTCATGCCATTTCTTCCCTTGCACAGCAGCCACCTCGTGAAAGAGGAATAAGGAGAGTTATGAGAAAAGCTTCACAAAAGCTTCATTTTCAGAGATAATGAAGTATTAATGAAATAAAAATCAAGCCACGAGATCAGTCCACAGTTTCCCACTCAGAAGCGCAGCTGGTTGGCTTCACTATGAGCCTCTCTCTCTCCCTTTTTCTGGAAAAACAAAAAGAGAGAAACAGAAACGGGATATATTTTCCTCATCTAGCTCGTTAAGAAAAATTATGATAAAGGTGGACAAGGTCCAAACGCTTCCCTTCCCGGCATGAGGAGCTCGGATGCACATGACAGGGCTTTGCTTTGCATCGTCTTCTTTAGGAGATGGAAACTGTATTTGTGAAGGGGGTGGCTCTGTTTTGCTCTTTAATGTTCACAGTTGGGATCTGCCTGTCCCCGCTTCCCTCCAAGCAGGGACTGTCACCTCCCCCCTCGCTTCTCCCGGTCCAAAAGGGGACGGGCTGATGCTTTCTGAAACGGGACAAGGCGGAGAGGGCTGGCTTGGTCGGTGGAGGACTGGGATGGGGTGCAGGTGAACTGGAGGGACGGCTTTCCCCTGGTCGCCGAGGGACCGGCAGGAGCTGCCGGGATGAGGGAGGGGATGGAGGTGGGGCAAAGCGAGACGCAAGCGGGAGGGACAGGACGGGGAGCACAACGGAGCTGGCGGAGAGGGAAAGGGGCGACAAGGCGGGAGGGGAGCGGGAGGCAAGGCGGGGCTGAGGGGGGCAAGCAGGAAAGGAGCGCAGGGCTGAGGGGAGGGGGCCGCGGGCAGCGCCCAGTGCGGGCTGCTGCGGCCTGAGGGAGGGGAGGGGGTCAGCGGGTTACCCCGAGGACTGGGCCTCCCCCCATCGAAGGCTCCTCGCTCCCCTAAGGGGAGTCCCCGCGTCCCGGCCGCCGGCTGCAGGATCCCCGCTCAGCCCCGCCGCCATGGAGGAGCCGCCGCTGCCGCCATCCGCCGCCCCTAGCAACGAGCGCCGGGCCCGCCCCCCGCCCGCCGGCTTGCAGCCAATCGGAGGCCTCCATGCTGCACAGGCGGGGAACGCCCAATCAAAGGAGCCCTCTTGAAGCCCTGGATCATGTGAGCGGGTAAGATGGCGGCGCCCATGGCAGGGGAGGGGTGGGAGGAGCCATTTTGTCGGCGGCGGGAGCGGCTCGGTAAGGGCGGAAGCGAGGGTGGGAATGGGGGACAGCCCAAGGTCGTACAGGTCGGGGCCTGGCTCCGGCGGGAAGGCCGTAAGGGTGAGCGCCGTGCGGGGGCGGCGCCGAGGGGGTTAACGGCAGTTGGTAAGGGTCGCTAACGGCTTTCGGTGGGATTTAAAACCCCGCGGGGTGAGCCACAGCCTGCCGGCGTGAGGGCGGCTGCCCTGAACGAGGTCCCGGAGAGGGCTTGGGGACATCCAGCTGCCTTGCAGCGGCGTGCCAGGGGGACAGGAAGGGCCGAACGGACGTCATGGGTGTTTCGTCACAGCTCCGTGACCTAATGCCAGTGGTTTACCTAAAGAACAGGTTGGGAGACCCTCCTCCTAGAGAGATCTCAAGGCTGGTACTGGTCCCGGATCGAGGTCCTGCTGCTTCTCCCTTCTTCCGCGGCTCCTGCACCTCAATTGGAGCAAGCTCAGTTTTACAGACAGGCTGTAGGACACGGGCTTCAGATTATAAAAGAAATTTAAGGTAAGCATGACTAGGAAAGTAAGTCTGGGAGACTTTGGGGAGAAGCATCTAGAAGAAAGCATTTGGATCGCCAAATATCAGGTTTAATCAAAAGCCGCTGTGATGGGTTGACCTTGGCTGGACACCAGGTGCCCAGCAAGCTGCTCTCTCGTTTCCCCTCCATCGACAGGACAGGGGGAGAAGGTACGATGAAAAGCTCGTGTGTTGAGGTAAGGACAGGGAGACAACTCACCAGTTACTGTCATGGGCAAAACAGACTTGACTTGGGGAAAATTAATTTAGTTTATTGCCAATCAAATCAGAGTTGGGTAATGAGAAATAAAACCAAATCTTAAAACCACCATCCCCCCACCCCTCCTTTCTTCCTGGGCTTAATTTCACTCCCAATTTCTCAACTTCCCCCCCAAGCAGCACAGGGGGACAGGGAATGGTGGTTGCAGTCAGTTCATCACACGTTGTCTCTGCTACTCCTTCCCCCCACACTTTTCCCCTGCTCCAGCAGGGTCCCTCCCACAGGAGACAGTCTTCTATGAACTTCTCCAGCATGGGTCTCAAGTGGGACCACAAGTCCTGCCAGCAGACCTGTTCCAGTGTGGGCTCGTCACTCCATGGGGACACAGGTCCTGCCAGCAAACCTCTTCCCGCACAGGCTTTCCATGGAGTCACAGCCTGCCTCACCATGGGCTTCCCCATGGGCCACAGGGGAATCTCTGCTCTGGTGCCTGGAGCACCTCCTGCCCCTCCTCCTTCACTGACCTTGGGGGCTGCAGAGTTGTTGCTGTCACATAGTCTCACTCCTCTCAGCTGCTGTTGTGCAGGGGATTTTTCCTTCTTAAATGTGTTATCCCAGAGGCATTCCCACCATTGCTGATGGGCTCAGCCTCAGCCAGTGGTGGGTCCATCTTGCAGCCAGCTGGCGTTGGCTCTGTCAGACATGGGGGAAACTTCTGGCAGTTTCTCACAGAAGCCACCTCTCTATCCCTGCATGCTTTCTGACTTGATATATATCTCTGGATAAGAGATAAAACACGTCCTTAGGTGTGGAATATAAAAGCAGAGTGGGTATCTTCACGATTTCTTTAAATCTTTACAAAGTGTGGTTTTGTTTTTTTTTCTTTATGGCTCTATTTGACAGTTAGGTCAGTTTAAACCTGGAGTATTGCCAAAAGCCATCATCTTGTTGGCATCTTCCCTTGTGCTGCTGGCATTAGGGATCATTGTGCTAGAAGGTGATCCAGCTGGAAGACACAAGTACACTGCCTGTTGTTCATCTGAGTAGCTTTCATCTGTGTGTTTCCTGATCCAAGATGCTGTATGGCCCCAGGGTTGGAGATGCTTGGGAAGGAGTGTCTGGAGGGTGAGACGATCCATTTTCATCACAAAGAGTACTTGGCTTAGAGCAATTGTCAAACCACAGCTGCAACATCACTACAGCAAGCAATTTGTTAGGGTTCATGTAGTGATAAATATAATAGACTTCAGTAGATGGATTGTGCCCTTTGCATCTGGAAACTCTGCCATGAAAAACAGGAAATGCATTTGTGATTGCACAGTGCCGAAAGAGACTCAGTGTTTATCTGATACATAATGGGGCTGTGTAACTTTGAATACATTTGTTTGTTTGTTCCTTATGATCCAGGACTTCAAGATGACAGGAAGAGAGTTTCTTGAACTAGATTCTCTGCAGCACAGACTACATTTAGAAAGATTTAAGAGGATGGAAGTCATACAAAAGATATTCAGTGACCTTCCTAAAGAAGATCAGTAAGTGCTGGTGAAATAAATGAAGTGCATCAAACATTTCATGTCTTTCGAAGGCTTTTCTTTTCTCTCACTCTTGTATTGCAAATCTTCCTTGCTGTTACAATAATACTTAATTGTGAAGATGCTTATTATTATTCAGAACAGAAAACTTGATTTGTGTTTTTAAAATATGGTTAGTTCACTGTTATCTCTGGTCCTGCTCAGCTGGTTTCTGGCTTGTGCTCCCTAGTGCTTAAGGTTCTGGGATGGCTGATCAGCCCTGACCGACTGAACATTCATACAGTCCTGTGCTAGAGCTAATAAATTTTTCTAGGAAACGGAAATGTTGGAGAGCATAAGGCAGATACTCTTGTGATTCTGCAGGAACCATCTTGAGTCCCACAGGGCTGGCCTGGGGCCAGAACTGAGTGAACATCAACCTGCTGGTTTCTGCATTTCATTCGGTGCTGCTCCCCATTTCAGGAAGGCAAGACTGAGATATCCAGGTGGTGGTAGACGAGTCAGCCAGAGTCAGGCAAGCTCATCAGCAGGGCTCTGTGCAGCACAAAAACAGCTAAATGCCTTCTGGACCTTTTTGTGTTTTGTGACATTGCATTTCACTGCAAAACCTTACTGGACCTGAGTTAGTTCTGTAAGGAGCTGTTTGCACACGTGTATCATCTTGGATAAATTCTGTATAAATGAGAGTGATTGGAAGTTTGGGTTTTTTTGTTTTTTTTTGTTTTTTTTTTTTTAATTAAATGGGACTGAATTGCTGGCTAAACAAACTGCTGGTAGTAACACAGGGCCTCCCTGCACAGGCAAGAGAGAAAAACACCAAGGCTCTATCCCTTCCATTACAGTCAGTGGTGCAGCTTTGTGTAGGATCTGCTCTGCTCACATATGATTTACAACATGTTTCCTTCCCCAGAAGAGCCAGGGGAGGAAGGGGGAGGCAGATGCCTCAGTGGTGATGTGGTAGTGTTTTGATAGAAACTGTGGTATCTAAAGACTGCTGGGCCTTGGAAGGAAATATTTGCCAGGGTGTGTGCCTTTAATTGAAACTGCCCTGGCAGGACTTAAAGTCTGTATATCCAGAGGGGAGGTCAGTAATGGCTGGAAGGGAAGAGGAAGCATCCTACAGTCTGAGAGAGTTCCTGCTCAGCAAAGTTTTTGTTAACACTAGGGAGCTAGTATTAAAAACAAACAAACAAAACCCACCAAACTCAAACAAACCCCCCCACTCCCAAAAACAACACCACCTGCACCCCACTCCAAAAAAAAAAAAAAAAAAAAAAAAACCCACAAAAAAAAAACCCAACCCTTCCATCCTTCCTTGGTTTTCCCTTTCATTAGCGTAGCAGTTCTGTACATCAGTAAGCCTGAGTAGATTCTGCTGGTCCTGGGTACATTAATGTGCTCTGTTTTGGATTCACAAATGTGCTGCTAGATTTTAATTTCTGTCTTCCACACATGTGTATATGCACACAGGCATTTCACTGCCTGTGATTTTAAACATACCAAAAGGATCAAATGGCTGGTTTGCAGAATCTGTAGTCTGGAGGCATTTCTGAGAATGACACTCAGTATTGGGAAAATGGTGGTTTGAAAAGCAAATAGGCGTATTTCTTTTTAAAACCACCCAAAAAAGAAATAGGGCTCCTAAATAAGGGCAAGAGAGATCTGACCAATTAAGTTATTTTGCTATACAGCATCAGAATTGAATTGTTAGTAGTTTAGTTCATGTTTGAAAATTTGGTATGTACCAGGAATGAAAGTATTTTCCTATTCAAAATGAGAAATAATGTCAGAAGTTGTCTAACGTTTTAGGTTTTGCAGAACTAGCACCTACATCTCTGAAGCCTTTTTTGTATGGTTTGTTAGTGCTTAATGTTACTCTAAGCATTAAAATGTGGAGGAGTTTTAAATAGGTGGATTTTAAAAAGATAATGTATTTTAATTGCTAAATGGCTTAGAGGTTGTCAACATTTGATAATTTTGAACATAAGTATGGCATTGGCCTAGCATAAATTTTGTGACCGGTAAAGGATTTTATTTTCTATTGGGCTTTAGTGGTAAATCCAACTTCTGATGCATTTTTAAAAATACATTTTTAACATGATAATATTTGCACAGCCTCAGAATCAGAGTGTCTTACAGTTAATTGCTTTTCCTGGCAATAGTTGTCTTTTGGAGAATTTTAGATTTGTGGAAACCTAAAGCAAAGTGTTGTTTCCACTCATCAACTGTCTGTGCCAGGTATAATGCTAAAGATAACGTGTAACTTCCTTCTGTGAGTCGAATGAAATGAATTACAAACTGCTCATTAGGCTTCTAAAATTGGCATGCTTTTCCATTCCCTCTCTTGCGTTACCTGCTGTGATAGAACGTACTCAAATGGGAACTGTTTGTCAAGATACTAAATGCTGACTATCTTGGATCAGACTGTTCTGTTCTGCTTTGACCATATTACAGATCTCAACAGGAGTAGCTGCTCTAAACCATATGTTAAAAACATGGTACATAACAGAATCCAGTCCCTGTTACTCAGGGAAAAATGAAAGCTCCAGTTCTGTAAACCAGTATGTTGGACTTCTGCAGCCTTTAACTAGCGTAATGTCCTAGCAAGGTGGGACCTTAGCTCCCATGTACACAGGGAAGACTTCAGGATCACTAATGATCTGTCAGCAGCTGCTGAGTTCATTATTGCAAGATCTCAGTGGCCATAATTGTCCCACATCAGCTGTTCTGTAAGCTCTGAGGTTGAAACTAAATCTATACTTTCGGGTAAGCAGGATAGAAACAAGGCTGATTATAGGACCTAGCTGTGATATATGTATTTTTTAAAAAATTTCTTTTGAGAAAACATTCTCCTAAGAAACATGCTGGTTAGGAGAGCAAATTTCATTAAGTTTCCATTAGCCATAATAAATTAAAAAAAAAAAATATGTAGAAAAGGCTTCTCGGCCTTTCTGTCACTTCATTCTTGAGGTGTGTGTAAACTTGGGGATATAGAGAAGGATGCTGTACTGGTTGCTTTTGAAGGTAGCTATGTTTTGCACCAGCAAACAGTTTATATCTCTTACCTCTTACTGTAGAATATTCAGAAGTGAATTGTAGCACTGAGTAAACCAAACTTTTTTACAGTTCTCAATTGCTGAAGCAACTTTCCTTCTTTCATAGGAACCTTTGTAATCATGGATCCTACTTCCTTGCAGCAAATTCAAGCATATGTGGCATAGTGGCAAATAACTTCTTCAGGAACATCCTGCATGTCAGAAGAGCTTCTATAGTGTCTGCTCTGCCAATGACTGTTATTCCGTTTCTTTCAACAGCAGCCGTTTATGAGGCTTTTGTGCGTGAGCCTTTATTTTCAGGTAAAAAACTTATTATTCCTTGTTTTAGAAAGGGCTTTGCTTTCTGTACACAGTGTAACACTGGAGGAACTTTTCCTCTCTGCAGAATGGTGGTCTTGAACCGTTGTGTTCTTAAAAAATTCAGTTTGTAAAGCAAGGTTTGAAAAACAGATTATTTAATGCATTGGGCAGCAGTGAGTTCTTGAAGTTGAGTGGGAAAGGAGATACATATGTATATTTACATATGTTTATAAAAAAAACTTCTGTTACATGTAGCGTTTTTCACTCAAAGTCATGTAAAAATGACTGCAACAAAACAGTTCAGTTTCCCCCATCTATATTATTTTCTTTGAAGTTCAACTTTAGAGTGATAAATTATTCACAGGTTGGAATGAGTGTTGTGGGTTTTGTTTTCTTTTTTTTTGCAAAAGGAAGAGTCCTCCTTTCAAAATTTCTTGCGTACCTGTACAGAATGGCCGTTTCTGTCAAGCACCTGTTTCCATGTTGTTGCATGTGGCTTATAAACTCTTATGTTGGAGCTGTGGGGCTGTTGACAGTGAAACATTTTGTTTGTCATGCAGGCGATCTGAACTGTGAGGTCTGTGCTGTGGTCAGAGGAGGATTAACAGGGGCTGTTGTGGGTGGTCTCTATCCTGTTTTGGTGGCTATCCCACTGAACGCAAGCCTTGCAGCCAGGTATGTCTTATTAACCTCCAATAAGAGAAGTGTGTTTGTTGGTCAGACCTTCAGTTCTCAGTTTAAATTCTGTGGATTTCTAGCCTATGCATGCCTATCTTTTTGTAGGCTTAGTACATGGAAGGGGATTTACATCAAGGTCATCTAATTACAAGGCCAAGTTCGTAAGAGCCTCCGAGGTGAAACAAGATCTGCAGACTGATACGCTGTAGAGCACTTGCCTTTAGCTGGAGCCTTCCAGGCTCCCTGTGATGTGCCTGGCTGGGTGAAGTTGTGGCTGCCGAGCGGTGGAGGCAGCTGAGATGCTGCTGCCCCAGGGCAGGGGTCGTCCTGTGGCTGGGTCAGAGCATGGTGAGGTGTCAGGGCAGTTTATGTAGCATTTATCCACAGGGCTCAGTGAATTTAATTCGGGAGAGGAAGGAGATAGTGTCATTATCTACCTAAATATTTTTAATGATTTTAGTATTACATCTTGATGCTTAAATTGAATGGAAAACAAAACGAAAAAGTAAATTTCTACTGCTGTTCATGTTTAGGTATTCTTCATCGCCCCTGCCAGGGAAAGAAAATCTATTACGCTTCTGGCTCAGAACTTCTCAGCCTGTCTTTAGAAAGATGAGTTTGGGTGTACTTGTACAGCTTCTAACTGGATTATATCTTGCCACTAAACATCATGGAATATATGTCAAAATACTGCAGCAGATGAACACTAGTAGGGATCCTGAAAAGTTACAAGCATGAAGTTAAGCAACTTTTCAGTTGCCTTGGATAAGTAACCATAATAAATGAAGAAGTTGTTGTTTCCTGTCTTTGTTTTTCTATTAAAAAAAGTTGAGACTTTGCACTGGCATTCTTTTCAGTTCTGAACTTAAGTACAACTTTATTTTTTTCATTATGTCCAGCTTAGTGGATACACCTGAATAAACAGCTTTCTAAGGACAGGTGATTTTCTTTGGAAATAGGGGAAAAAAAAGCATTTGTAGTGCCTGCTTAGTGGTTGGCTCTAAGGTGATGCTAACTCTTTTTAAAGCTGTATGAGTATTATTGAAAAAGGTTTCCTTCATAATTTCTTCAAATAGTTTCATCATGTTTTATCTACTTTTTCCTAACAAATTTGTTGTTACAGCCAGAAAATCATGCACTGTATTTCTCTAACTGGTAGCGGCCTGATTTGTACAGGGAAGCAGCAAAGCCTGACTGTCTCTGCAGGGGTTGCTATGTAAAGTTAGTTTTCCTTAATCCAAAGTATTACTGTATTGTCTGGTGTTCCGATACTGTCTGCATCTTAACAGACATCCTGGCCTTACCTTCATCACTCCCCCTTTAGAGATTCTCACGGAGCAAGTATTTTAGCAGACAGTGAATTATGGTGTCTCCAGAAGTCATCAGACTTTAACCACCAGAACCACTTACCTGTGATAATCAAAACATAAACTAAAGCCATTGCTTTGCAACAGTATCTAAGAATGAAAATGAATGGCTTGGCGACCACTGCAGGCATTTAACAAGATACACTTAAGATACTGTAAACAGATCTTGGTGCTTTTTGAAGTGTGAGATTCAAACCCATCTTCCATTCCATGTACCATTTTCCTATCAATTCAACTGTAACAAACACCGTGCAAACACTGCCTCCCCATCTGAAAATTTGAGTTGTATCCTTTCTTCTACCACTGTAATAGAAACAAACCAGTCACAGATGACTTATCACAGCAATAACTTACTGCATTCTTAGAATGCATGTGTCTAATATATAACCTCTAGCGCTGGACTTTTGACTACTCAAAGTCTGAACTACTGCCAGAAGAAATCTGAGAGACTGGCTTTCGGTAAGAATCAACAGACGACATACTAAAACACTATTTTTTTTTATCTTCTGTATGTACCATTTTTGATGCTGAATCTCAACATTACAATCTATTCCACAGCCCCCTGCAAATGACACCCCTATCTCCCCTGTACCCACCCCTGTCCAGCTCCTGGCATCTTCCTGCTAATAAGCAAAAGCAGAATTGGTTTTCCAAATCTGTATATCCCACTTCATCTGGGGGAAAAACTCTGGAATCAGCTACTGTCAATGTGCAGTTTTACACCAAGTGTTCTTTAAACACACAGCCCATTTGAACAACTCCCATACCTAACATATCCTTCAGACATTTACAGTCTAATAGCAAATGCAAACCTATAAACAGAATATTGCTGGGTCTAGCAGAAAATCTCTTAATTACAAGCTGTAGAGAATGTAAGTTTTAAAAATCAGTAAATTTATAAAAGGCCTTTGTGTTTTGCAAAAGATCTCTGTTTCACAGGGAAAACTGATCACAGTTTTGACAAGTGGCATGAGAAATCTGATAATCTGGAAGTACCAAGAGATGCTGTGTTGGAATACAGTTCCCTACATTTACTTTGATATCATCCCTCCAGGCAGCCAGAAATTGCAGAAACACAGATTTGTTTTTTCCTCCCAGATGCTGCTAAGCTCTTCAGAGGAAAGACAGAGAAGTTAATTTAGAATGCTACTAAGAGTCACAGCACTGGAATCAAACTGAAAAGGACTAACACAGAACTGAGCATTGCACTGTTTCTTATTTAAATGCTAAATGGTCTTCAAGCGGCTGTGGGGTGGAGAAATACTGGAAAATGAAGGTAGCATAGCCGTGTAGTTTAACGCTGATGGCACCTGGTTCTGTGGTACGTGAAGTTTAACAAACACAAGGTCCAATGCTGAACAGGTTATTTTCTACGACTAGAGTCCAAAAAGGCAGAGCATGCCAGTATGCTTTTAAATTTTTAAACCATGTTTTTCTGTGAAATGTTCCTTTTTGTTCCTTTTTGTTCCTTTTTATCAAGCTGCAGACTACTTTCCATAGAATGCCTGGATGCCAGAAAACCAGCAGGCTCTTTTAAAGTGCTCTCTACAAATAAAGCATTTAAGATTAACAGAAATCAAAGAGTACAGTGCATGGCTCACTCTGGAGCTTAAAAACGTCTCCTTTCACCATCCTCAAACCTTTTGTTACACTCACTCCAGTGTTTAGCGTGGAAATAACAATTTGATGAAAGATTATGGTTTAACAGCATATTGTTAACCAGCCATCAAACTTCAGAACCTAAAAATGCGACAGAAAGGAGAAAGATGCCAATACATCATGGAAACATTTAGGTAAGTATTCTACTTGTCCATGGTTTAGTGATCAAACACATCCACATTAATAAAATATGAAGAGAAAAAACAGGTGTAAAACTCAAGGAGTGGTTATTCTCAGAAATACAACTTTATCTTTGGTTAAGGACTAATGCCTTTGTTTTGTCCTCACCACAAAATGAACTTGAAAGACCAACGAATAAGAACATTTCTCCTGCATACCCTGATCCATTTTGTCTTCCAGCAGATGACCCACACAGATAGCATCAACAGCCTTTTTCCCTTTCTGTTTTCCCATTTTGTGTAATGAACCACTCAAAGCAAGGCATTAGTGAAAAGAAAAAGATGAAAAAACATTTGAGCCCATAAACTGAAAGATCAACAAGTCTGATTTTATTATGATATTGTATTCTTATCTGGATGGCACATAATTACAAAGAAACATTTACAATATATTTTCAAGTATTAAGTTATGTCATTTCAAGGCTTCCACTTCAAAAAAGCTACATTAATAATACACCATACAAATAGTACAGTCGGTTAGAGTTTCAAATAACTTCCTCCCCTCTATTTGGTTTAAATATGATTCAGTAGGCACTAGAAATGCCTGCAGCCACTTACTTTCTTGGGACTTGACCTTGTTCTTGTACCGGTATACATAATTTTGCATGTCAGAAAATCAGCTATTCTCAGACACAGCTCACAGGTAGTTTCAGGACTAGAGCGATGTGCAGGTTCACAACAGAGACCAGAACTATGTCCCTGACCCCTACCGCTTAGCAGTGATGCAAAATGAAAGAATGCATATTTAAGTTAACTTAAAAAACACCTCTACACTGAAGTAACTCTAAAAATGCCATTGTAACATCCCATACTTGCTACATTAGCGTTTCTCTTCTCATCAAGCGTGTTAAACTTCAAAATAAACCATGTTTGTGAAGTCTGAGCTAGGAAGATTGAGTCTAGGTTGAATCTAACTCAATTATTTCCATTTTGTGTATCAGTCAGTACGGGTCTTGATCATTAACTCTGATTCCTGTGGCCCTGGTATAACCCATCAATTACAGCAGGGTTACACAATTTAAGACTAAAACTTTGAACAGTCCTGGTCACCACAGGGGTGTAAGGTAACGCATATCCCACTGAATCTCTTTTGTGCTGGCAATATACCCTGAACAGATGGAATTCTGAATACAGTGGAGTAAAACCTGTTTGATATGATACTGTTTTTTAAAAAAACCATCTTGAGTGACAGTAAATGATCCCAGCATTCAACCTTTTTTTTTTTTTTTTTTTAACCAAAGACAGCAAAAGCCCTGTTACCTCTTTATTCTCATTTCTTATACTACCTTTTAAAATAAAGCAGGAAATGTGGCCAGCAGCTGGTCCCGTCTCTTCTGCCCCAACACAGCTGAATCCACTTTAGCATAAAGAAAAACAAGGATGCTAAATACACATATACTTTATCACACAGTGATGTTTCACAAAGAAAAATCAAACTCCTTTTATACTGATGAACACTTGATAGGGTCTAGCACCAATAAAGCAAATGACAGAAAATGCTTTCACCTTCTACTTAGCCTTAAACACAAAATTTAAGGCTGTAAGGAACAAGACTTCAGAACACTAAATAGAGTATTTTTTTTAAGTAGTTAATAAATGAACCTGTTTTAAAAAAGCCTGTTCTTTGTGAAACCTCACTTTACATATCATCATTTTCACAATCCTTCTTCCCCCAGCTGACATACATATAAACAACCTAGACATTATAATACAACTGAAAAAAACAACCCACTTGTCTTTTGTGATAGGGAGAAACACTGACTAGTACAAGAAAACACACACTATTGCTGGTCAAACTATTTTTCCTCCTATCAGTTAATTATGGAGCATTTTTCAAATCATTAGCCTCAAGATACATATTTGCTCATCTCCAAACTGTGCTTAATTATATGAAGTTATATATTTCTGGATACTGTAAGAGGCTAAATTAAGAACTCTACAGTAAAATTAAGCACATGCATATACATGCAGCATCTTTAAAATTTAAAGCAACTTTGAAGTAACGTAGGAATTTCAGTGTGCATGGGCAGAGATTTGGAAGCTAAAGTAACGAGTTACTTCGATGCACTGCATTCTTCAAACCGCAATTCTTGTTAGAGTTCCATGCAAAAAAGTGACTCCTCTACATTAGGATTCCACTGTACAGATATAACCAGTGTTCAGGTTCTGTTTAATCAGGCAAAACTCCGCATCATGAATTAGAGCAAGTTAAGAGAGGGACTTTTTAAAGGTACCGTGCATCCCTAACACTAGACAGTATTGTAAACCAACAGGTCACAAATTAGGGTTTTTTTCCATTTAAAAAGCAATTTACTTACACTTTTGGGACAGCCCCCTATGATAAAAGGCTGAAAATGTCACATCCCCCTTATTAGCATGTTTTCCCTTTTCAGCTCATCAGATACTTAGTTTAATAGAAAATTTATATTTCAAATGATTTAATCACATATTTTTTAATTCAAAACGTAGCTCATGTATTGGCCACTATGTGTACAGTCAATTAAAAAACGAAAATAAGAAAACAGCTAATTAGAATGATGTGATTGTAATTTTCACTGTCAGTTATCATCCAGAGCTAGAAATATTTTGGCAGAGTAGGCCAAGGACCAGAGAAATCATTTCCTGAACCAGCCATTACAAGAGACTGGCATAAGCAAAGCAAGCTGTCTGATACCGCATTATGGGAATATATTGATCCTTACCAGGTTGCGATGTGGAAAACGACTGTTCTTTAACCCCTACACAACGGAGCCTGGCAGGGCAAGCACCTAAAAGAGAAACTGTCAGAGAAGTTTTAATAGTAATGTATAACTGAGATGCAGTACAATTTTATATGCATGCTTTCTTTTGCCGATCATTACTATTTTCTTAAGTCTGTCCAGTGACGATGTCTTAATGAAGTTTTTGTTTTGGTTTTCTAAGCAAGCATTTTCGGCTCCTCAGGATAAGCAGGCTAGACATTATCTGACTCAAGACCGGGTAGTCAGTGTTATCTTTACTGGCAACTGCGAAGTGGAACCGAGCACACCTTCCCGCGGCAGGTCGGCATGATCTTTTCACCCAAGTGCTGCAAACGGGCTCTGGCGGCACCTCTGCGTGTGTATGCGCGTGTCAGTTTGCACGATAATTACTGCACTGCTGTACGCAGCTTTGCACGACTCTTAGGCCAAACAGGCTCAAGACCATTCTACCGTCCACACGCCAGATTTATGTGACCTTTAACCAAGGCCACCATCTGGCTCCCAATGTGCCGTTCAAGAGATAATTTTTTTTTTTTTTTTTTTTGGTACCCTGGCCACTTAAGTGCCAGGTTCCCCTCCTCTGCATCTCCCCCAATACCACCCCATCACCACTGTATTTATCCTTTTCCTCCGCACCATCGCCTGCTTCCTCCGCCACAACGCGAGGCCCCTAGGGGCGAGAACCCCACGAGTACTTGCAGCAGGTACTTGACCCTACATTTTGAAGGAGGCCGCTGCCCGCCGAGCACAGATGGAGCAGAACTCCACCGACACCTGATCCCGCTCCACGTGGAGGCAGATCCCGCCGGGGGCCGCCCACTCCTCCTCCGTCTCTGTCCCCACCGCCGCCTCCTCCAGGCCGGGAGGCTGGGAGCTGGGCAGGGCGTAGTCGTGATCGCTGCTCTCGCCAGCGGGCTGGAGGTGCTGCTGATGGCGGCGGGGGCTGCCCGTGTCCCTGAAGAGGCTGGTGCCGAGCTGCAGCCCGCCGGCGCGGATCCCGGCTAAGCGGCTCAGGAGCTGCCCGAGGGCGCTCTGGTTCGCCAGCACGGCCCGCAGGTAGCTGCTCTCCCGCTCCAGCTCTCGCAGGCGGCGGCTCAGGCCGCGGTTGCGGTCCCGCAGCTGCCGGTTCTCAGCAGCCAGGCCCTGGAGGCGGCTCTCCAGCCCCAGCACGTACTGCTTCTTCTTCAGCCGGTTCAGCCGCGCCGCCGCCGCCGCCTTCAGCCGGCTGCCAGCCCCGCCGTTCCGCCGCCCGGGCGCCGCCGGCCTCGGGCCCTGGCCCGGCGCGGGCAGCGGCTCCGCGTCCCCGCAGAAGCAGCCGCTCAGCTCCGCGTCTAGGTCCCAGTCCGGCCGGGCCGCCTCCAGCAGATCTCCCAGCTCCAGCCCCGGGAACCAGTCCTCTTGCTCCCACACCTCCAGCGGGCCCCCGGGCGCCTCCGCTTCCTTCTCCTGCCGCCGCGGCTCCAAGGCGCCCGCCTCCCGCCGCGGCGGCTGCTGTTGTTTGGGCCGCGCGGGGCCCGGATCCCCTTCCCCGCCGCCATCCCGCCCTCTCGGGGCCTGCCCCGCGCCGGCCAGCGGCCAGGCGGCTCCCGAGGGGCTCGCCCCGCCGGCGGAGGCCGCCAGCAGCTGGGTGAGGCTGTGGCGCATGGCGGCGGCGGGCCCGGCGGGACGGGACCGGAGCCTGAGGGCAGCGGCGCGCGGCTGCGGCCCGGCGCTCCCGCCGCGGTGCCTGTCGGGAAGCGGCGCCCTGAGGCGGTGGAGGGGGGCGGAGGGGCGCCTCGCGACTGCGCCCGCGCGCGGGAAAGCGGCGGCCGTGAGGGGGTTGTGCGGGCGTGAGGGGGGGATGTCTGCCTGCCTGCCTGCCTGCGTGGGATGTGTGAGGGTGCCTGCGCTTGAAGGGATGGGTGCGTAGGTAAAGGCGGGGTGGGTGTGCGGGGGTTGCGCTTGAGGAGGGGTGGGTGTGAGGGGGGATGTCTGTCTGTCTGCCTGCCTGCCTGCCTGCGTGGGCTGTGAACGCTTGAAAGGGTGGGTGCGTAGGTAAAGGGAGGGGGGGGGGGTGTGCTTCAGGGGGTGTGCGGGGGGTGCGCTTGAGGAGGGGTGTGCGTGTAGGGGGGGATGTCTGTCTGTCGGTCTGGGATGTGTGAGGGTGTGTGCGCTTGAAGGGATGGTTGCGTGGGTAAAGGGGAGAAGTGGGGATGTGTGCTTGAGGGGTTGTGTGTGTGTAGGGGGGTGCGCGCGCTTGAGCGGCTGGGTGCGTGGGTAAAGGGTGTGTGTGTGAGGGTGTGTGAGCCTGAGGGGCTGGATGCGTGGGTAAAGTGGGGGGTGGGTGGGTGTGCTTCAGGGAGTGTGTGGGGGGAGCGCTTGAGTGATGCGCTTGGTGAGGTGTGTGTGCGTGAGGGGGAATGCGTGTGTGTGTGAGGGGGGATGTGTGAGAGTGTGCAGGTAAAGGGGGGGGTGGTCTCTCACTCACAGACACTGCCGAGGGGAAGGAAGGGGGGATGTCCCCCTAGGGCTTTCCCACCGAGTTGTAGCAGGGATGGGGCTGTTCTGTCACACAATGAGTGGGTGGCCTCTGCACAGATTTAGACTATTTTAGGCTTTCTTGCAGGCACCACGTGGAAATGGGCACTCCTTGCTGCATATTGACTAATTAAGACAAAAAATTCTTCCTGTCAGATCCCGGGCCTAGTTTGTAGCCTGGGTCAATTGGTGTTTGCATTAAATGTGTAGCAGGGTGGGTACATCAGAGGGAAAAAGGTGATGGAAAAGTAGGAGGATGTGGTCCATAAAACTGGTGTGGAATGACAACTGAAGGAGCCAGGATCAAAAGAAAGGCTGGGGTTTGTCCTGCACCAGCTAGTGGAGCAGTACTTCTCACCTGGCTGTGTGGGGGTTCAAGGAGAGTCCGGAGGAGTTCAGAAGGCAGGTCTGTTGACAGCTGCTACTTAGAAACTACATCTGGTTCAGTACGTCCTTGAGAGGAACTGGTCACAAACTGGAGGATCTTCTGGCCATTTCTGTACACTTCTGAACATGTGGCTCAACAGGTACCAAGTCTGATGCTGTGCTGCTTTGTAGATGCTCAGGACCAAACAACTAGTGAAAACATTGAGTTAGTTACCCCATGATATACACACCTGGGAGGGAACTTGTGAAAGCTCTGGAGGCAGTTACCTAGAACCCAGGTGGGGGGATGCCCTTTGGCACGTCTTGAGGTTTTTTGTTGCGGAGTTAAAGAGCAGGAGCTGAAACTCAGCAGCCAAAAACCTCTTCCTTGGCTGGGAGAGAGTCAAGAGAGAGGGGGATGCCTCTATCCCCCAGTGCTAACAAGAAAGGGAGAGCTTTTGTCAGAAACTGCCAGACCTACACCCTTCCATTTTGTGCATTGTTGCTATTTTCTCTACAGAAAACACCTAAACTAGTGGAACAGCCAGAACCTCAACCTGTTTCAAAGACTGCTGAAGTCACCCAAAAGACCTGACAATTTATTTTGAACTGAAAAGGGATATAAATAATGACATTAAATAAGACTAAAACAACTATAGAAACCCCTAAGACTAGTGGACAGCTATACATAGGCATCTGCTGGAGTGTCAGGTGCTGTATGCTATTGCTGTTCTGACAAGTTGCAGAATCACGACTGTTCGTGATGCAGACATTGCAAGGAGGGGATTTCTTTCTTGGAGCCTCCATGTTACCTCTTACACGCCCAGCCTCTGTTCAACTTCAAGGAAGAATCAAACATGAGGCTAAGGGTTTGAGCTTTGATCCATCTTGGAAAATAATGTGCTTTTAACTGTAAGAAATGAAAATCTACAGTACAGCCGAGGTTAGGACCAAATCAATCAAATTCATGTCTTATGTTTTCCACCCCAATCCTTCATGTCACAGGTTTGACTAGTTCAACAATCCCTGATCAGATTTAATAGTGTAGAGCTCTTACGTAAACGTGTAACAACAACAGAAAAAAGCTACAGAACCATCTTTGGAGGAGGATTGAAGTTGGTAAGTACGTTGCAGAGAAATCAGAAGGCGGTCTCTGTCAGAAGAGGGTCTCAGGAAAAGGAACAAAATGCAGTGGTGTGTCACAGGAGGGGCACCTGCCAAGACGAGAGCAGGGCAGAAAGCTGCAGTTACACAACAAAATGACGGAGTTTGACATTCAGCGCTTTTTCCTTACACAGCAAATCCATACTGTGCTTTCTGTAAGTGTCAAACTGCAGCAAGAGTTCGCTGTATGCCTGTTCGCTGCTTTCGAGCTGTTGTTGGAGCTCTTGGACCTTCAGGTCATTTGCTGCTGCTGCCTCTTTCACAAGATGCTTCCCTGCTCTCTGCCTGGTGTTTTCTGCAGTCTCCAGCTTCCTCCCCAGCTGCTTAATTTCCTGCTGCATTTCTTGCAGAGCTTTGCCCCTCTCCATGGCCAGCTTCAGTAGCCACTCTTTCTCCTCATTCGCCCTCTCCAGCCTGGCCTGCAGCTCGCTGCCCTGAGCCCTCTGCTGGTTTTCAGCATGTTCCACCTGTGCAACAGTTTGTTGGTGCTTCTCCTGTAGGTGTTGCAGCTGTTTTTTTAGTGAATCGGCTTCCCAGGCATAGGCGCTTGCTTGGAGGCTCTGAGCTTCCAGCAGCTCCTTTTCTCGCTTCTGGGCTCTGCGACTCTCGTAAGCGTGTTTCTCCTGTAAGGTGTCTAACTGCTGCGTGAGCTTTCTGGCCTGGGCTGTGAGCTGGAGCACTTCAGCTTCCTTCTCCCTCACGGTCTGGCTGAAGAGCGCTTCGTGCTCCTGCTGCAGGCGCTTATTCTCCTCCCACAGCTGCATATGCCGTTTCCTGTGTTCGTTCTTGAACTGGATCATTTTTTCATGGTTGTTGGCCAGATCCATGAAGCGCCCCTCCAGATGCTGAAGCCGTTGGGTCTGGGTTTTCATTTTCACAGCATCCTCTGTCCTGAGTTTCTCCAGCTCCGTGTTGAGCTGCTCCAGGCCTCTGCAGCATTTGCATGCGTCATCTGCTTTTTTCTTCAATATACAGATAAGGTGATGCTGCTGTTCTAGGGGTGAACGCAGTAGAGTCTTCTCACTCTTCTCTTCTTCAGGCCTCGCACAGAGTTCCTCCAGGCCTTTTGCCAGCTCTTCCATGTCTTTGCCTGTCTCTGGATTACTCGTGGGGTTGGCCATCCCTGCCAACAGGGTTGGAGCTCCTGTCTCACAGAAAAATGAGACAAAATTTTATAGTGACTGCTTTTCTTAAACAGTAGCCAACGGTTACGTGGCCAACACCGCCACACTAAGCTGGTGGAATTTCTCTGGAAATCCAGAGAAACCAGCGTTGGGGGGGGGGACAGGACCTCCCAAAAGCGATGGCAGCCCGCAACCTGTGTGGTCCTGCAGCCCTCCTCGCCTGCTTTGCCCTGCTTCAGCGTCAGGTGGACTGCTGAGGATGCCAGGCTCAATGATGCAAAAGCAAAGAATGTAGGCTCAGTATTTATGCAAGCCTATTCAGTTGCTGATTATTAGCTTTGCTAATGATTCCTTCTCAAAGTGCTGTTGTAGATAAAAGAAGTACTATTATATTTAGGTAAAAATCTTGTATGTGATCAAGCTGTAAATAATTCCTTAAGCAATCCTTTTCCTTTGCCTTTATTTTCTCCTACAGATCTGGTGTTATAAATACAAGTAAAACATGGAGGGTTACATCAAACTTCTAGTTGATTTATAAGATTTTAATGGTACATTGCTTATTAAAAAATAACTGAATAGCCTTATCCCAGGCTTAGTGATTTCTGAATGAAATAAAAAAACTATACACTGCTAATAATTACTGGATGCCCTGTGGTACAAAGACTTTTTGTCTGGATAAATAGTTCATCGTTTGAATTTTGACACTGATTTGCTAGATTATTTTAGGAATGTAATTTTTAAAGTCTGGGTCCTCATGTAAAAATAAGGGAAATATTTACATTACATGGGCATCAAAATCATTGCTTGTACCTAATCATTCAGCATGTTACTGAGATGTATGAAACATCAGCCTAAAAATGATCTATGAATTTTTCATTCAGATGCGAACCTGGAGCTACACAGCACATGAAACAGCATGCTGGTAATCAGGTTTTGTTAATCCCTGGGCTTTGAGCCACCTGAGGTAAAGACAGGATTGGAGGAAGGAACCAACTTAAAGGAAGCATAAAAAATTAGTGAAGAGCAAAAAATGAATTAATGCTGATGAAGCACAGAGAGTTTCAGAGGTGCGTAGCAGTGACTGTTGGTAGGGACATCACCTCTACCCCCACTGTCCTGCACTCCCCTGCCGCTGCTGCTACCTGAGATCCTGCCAAAATATTTGGAAATACCAGAAAAATGGGGAAGGACTGAAAGGTTTAGGCCATCCAGTGGAAACACAATGAAGAACAAGGTCTAAGAGGAGAGAAATGTTTTCTTTCCCCGACTCTTTCTTGCCACTCCTGCTGCAGGGTTTCTGTCTCCGTGGAGATAAGAGGCTAAATCCAGTCACTGCAGAGGTCGTGCCTTTATTCGGGCTGGTTGGAACTGGACCAGCCCCATGAGAGTGGCTGAAAGAGCTGGGAGTGTTTCATAGCAAGCAAACTCTGGTGGCACTCTCAAAGGCACCAGATTTGGTAAAGGGAAGAGGATTTCCAGAAGTCTGAAAAAATCCTCTCTTGGCTTGTGCCCTGTGTGCCAGCGGAGATCACCATGGCAGGCTCCAGCCTTCTCAGAACATGCTGAAGGTCTGGGGTAAGTAAAGACACAGCCCTTGCCCTAAAACCATGCAACTTTATTCAGCAGTTAATGAAAAGTCTGGCAGATAGGATGGGGAAGGAAGAAGCTGGTGCAGGTTTTGCTGACTCCACTGGAAAAGGATATGAAGCAGAGAGGGGTGAGCGCTGTGGGTAAAGGATGTGAAGCGAAAAAGGCAAGGAGGGTGCGGTACCAGATCATTAAATAAAGGTAAAATCAGAGTGATGTCGGTTGCCACCCCAACTCAGGTTTGCAGGCTAAGTTGCAGAAATGGGAGGTCTCTGAGCACAGAGCATGAAAGGAGAGCTGGGACTTTGAAGCCTGGTTTATAGGAAGTAAAGATGGTGTAATTTAGAGGACATACACGTGCATATATATATATATACATATATGTGTGCCAGAAAACCCCCATTCTAGGTAAAGCAAAGAGGAGCTCAAAAAGTATGGGGAAAAGGGGGAAAAAAATGTGATTCTCCCTTTGTTTCTCTGGACAAGTATGAATATACACAAAGACATTCTAGGAGTAGGGTAGGGCTGCTTTGTTATAAAAGTGAACTGGAATTAAAAATCAAAGCACAGCTATTAATTTATCAAGCTGCCCTTTAATGACTAACTATACACCTTTAAAGTTGTGGTTGTGGATGACTAGAACCTTTTATTTTTGACTGTAGAGCAAAAACTAATTTCTTGAAACTTTTTATCTACATCAACTTCTTAAATTTGCATTCCTCTGTCAGTGTATTATCAACCTTAAATACACTACTGTAGTCAGGAGTGACTATGAATTTTATGGAAAGCTGTATTTATTATGTGAACCACGTTCAGAGGAATGTCAAAAATACAAGTAATCTTTTTTTAAAAAATAAATTTTGCATTACTTTAGATGTTTTCAATACAGAATTCCTGCCAATTTACGCGATTAGATGCAGCCATTACCTTCAAGCACATTTTAATAAATCAACAGAATATCCTGTAGCAGGAGGTAAAATTTTAATGTTTCTACTCTGCAGTTAAATCCTACAGCATACAGAGGATAATCAAAATACTTTTTACTAGTAAAAGCAGCTTCGTTTGTAACTTTCCTTCTACTGAAGCTCATCTCACCAGGACAGCTTTGATTTTTCTTGTGTATGACAGTAGTAAAAAGATAAGCACAGCTGCTAAAGCTCTACTGAAAATCTTTAACTTAAAGATCTGTAGCTCGATGCAGACTAACTATAACTTTAAAATACCTTGTGTTGTTAAAGGCTACTGTACTTTTCAAGAGACACTGCTGTGAGGGGCTCTGCTGACCTCCTGTGAATTTGGAAGCATAAGGAAGACTCACTTTTGTGTGTGGTAACAACTATCCTTACAGATTTACTGTAACAGTCTGCATTTTCTGCCTATGCTGAAAAAAAATGTATTAAAAAGTGGAGAACAGCACTAAAGGGTCTGTTTCTGTTAATTGTCTCAGTTTCTTGATTAATCTAGATGAGTATATAATACTGCTGTGTCATTAGTTAACCACACTAATTAAAGTGCAGTGCACAAGTAAATCTTACGTTCATGTTCAGGTAGCTTTTCAAAACTTAAACTGAGTTTTGATCTATCTGGTGTAGTGTAAGCAGTGTCTTTGGAGAGGATGACAAACACCATGTCTGTCTCTAGGATGGCTCAAGAATAGCGAGACAAGATGTTCTACTTGACCAAAAGACAAGAAATTGACACCGTCACAAACCAAACATTTTATTTTGATGGCAGTCAAGTATAACTATCAAAGTTTTGTACAGTATAGAACACAGCAGATTACATGACACCTGCCTGCAACTCTAGAGCCTCAAGCCCCCATCCCTACAGCTGAAGTCCCAAACCTATTTTAACATAGTGATGTATTTGAGCTTCACAGGAAGCACAACAACAGGAACTAACCCTGTGAAGTTGTAGGTCATGTTCACAGCAAGCTACTTGTCACGTGAAAATTAATTAATCTAGGCAGCGAATACAAGTCAACTAGGTGCTTCTCTGCTTTTCCAGAATCACCGCCCTTTCAGGAGCAGCTGTTTACAGAAGCAAAGTAGCTGCTACACCACTTAAGTGTGTTCTGAAGTGTCACATGCACACTGTTCCCTAGTCAGACAGGAACAATGTTTTGTACGTACCTGGCAAAGCAGAATCTGTAGCAGCTACAAATCTCGTCCAAAACATCTGAAGCAATAAGAGATCAAGACTGACACCTACTTTTGGCATTTGTAAACTCCACAGACAGCCTTGTTGATAAGAGAGAAAGTGGGTTCCCCAGCAGGTTGAATAGCACCTTTTTTTTTTTTTTCCACTCATAGTGTATTAAATACCAAGTAGCATTTAAATTTTTGTGATTAAATTAAGCAGTGGAGTTGGAGCTGTGAAGAGCTCTCTTCTCTCTACTGAGGTGCAAGATTTCACCAGCTTTTAGACTTACACATTTCGAGCAAATAAACGTGCCTTTATTTTTAGAAATGTTTTCTGTCTGCATTTTGTCATATTGCATGCTGAATTGCTAATGTAAAACACTGGGTTTTAATGAGCAATAATTTTTATTTAGCTTTAATAGGCTGCTTTTATTAAAAAAAATGTAGTACATTTTTTATTTTATGCATTTATCTTTCTTTGGTAATATGCATTTCTACAAGTTACAAATTCCAGTCCTATCTCCTATGCTGCAAAGCTGTCTAAACCAAGACCACCATAATCCCAGCATTCTCCCAACGGTGGCGCTGAAGCACAGATAAATTTTTGCAAAAAAAAAGCCAATAGATACAGGTACAGACAAGTACACTTTACAGAATAAATACCCAACATACTTGTCATAACTAAAATTGGCAGGTTTGGATCCTTTAGAGTAGAATTGCAATTAAAAAAGTTTCACCTCTATGCCTTCACCATTTAAGAGTAAGGATTATGAACTAGCAAGACATTAACGCATGTATAAGCAAAATTTATAACCCTGATTTTTTATAGTACATTGGAACTAACAGTCCTCTGCACCCTGCAGAACAGAACATTGACAGTACCACTTCGTGTAACAATTCTTTCATTATAGAAGCGACTTTCATACCCTAGAAGTGGACAACTACAAATAAAGGAACTTAAAAAAAAAAAATTCCTCACTGGAGAGATCTGACACAGCATAACAAGGATAAAAACACATACTAATGAGCATGAACAAATTGCAACCTGTTGCTGTCTTATCAATAACACTTCACGATCAGTCCTAGAAGTGTACAGAAAGAGTTGACTTGCTCTTAATTTTTGCTGGTAATTTAGATTAAGTGATCAACAATGCTTCAGTTAGGCAATGCCAGCACCCAGGTATCACAGCTACCTCTACTACTGAATTCTGTGAGTGCCTTCTTTAAGTCTTTTTCAGTAAATGAGAAATTAAAGAATCCCTTAAATTTACATAATCATCTACAGGCAAAAGTTTAATTTGAAATACAAAATGACATTTGACAGCACAAAAACTGAACAGCAACAGAGCAGAGACTGTCGAAAGAGCTACTGTGTTCCTCTTCCAAGTTTCATCCCCACACCTTTAATTTAATTTCCAAGGTTTCTTTTTGACACTAGCAATTAAAAAGCCACCTTATTTTGTCAATTTTGCAACCATTAGCATCCTGAGAGGTAGTGTGTCTTCTATCCATGTGTTTGGTGAGTTCATCATCTTCTCCCAAAGGGCAGTTTCATCTGAAGTAGAATCCATCCACTCTACTGTAGTCCCATAGCTTTTGCCTAGAAAAACATCCGTTTTAAGAGAAACATTGCTTAATATGCTACAGAGTTGAGAGCAGACAATCAAATCTGCCTGTCTGCTAATACAGTTTCACCTCCTCGGGTAGCTGACCCAGTACTCTGAAGATCCAGTTCTATGTTTTCACACTTCAACAATTCTGTCAAGTACAATTAACATCAGTTTCACATGGAAATATTTTCCTTGTTAGCCTTTTTGTCACAATCCCAAAGAGCAAGATGTATGGGCAACTAACATCTGAGAGGGTTTAAGAATAAAATGGGACACTGGTTTTACCGTGAAATACAACCTTGTGTACTTTCAAATTCAAACTGAGACTTACTATTCTTATTTGTATTTTAGGTTATTCTGGTGAACCATGTAAAAAGTTAATTTGGGAAAAGTAATTTTTTTTCTTATATTTGCTTGAAGACTCCAAATACATCCTCCCCTCAGACCAGCAAGGACAATGAAAGGAACAAATATAATGGTACAGAAAACATACTTCTATCTGCACATCTTATATTGCCCTTACACTAAAAACTTGTTTGCATTTATAAGTTTTCGTACCCAGTGTCTTCAAATCTTATCATGCATTCCTGAGCTATCCTTTTATCTCCACCCAATACTGTCTTTACACCACATGCCTAGTTTTTGCACGCATGAAGTTGTAAAATGTTGTCAAGATTTTGGGTGCAGGAATAGCGTGATCTTGTACCTCAAGCAATACCAGATACAGTGTATGTCCAGACAAAGGTTTATTTCTGATATTTCTCCTTAATTGTCAGACATCCTAACCCTCATAACTCTACTATTATTTACATTTCAGGTTCTGTACTGAAGAATAGGCAAGTTATGAATTAAACTCTTCAGTAGGTAACTGAAAGGCTGTTCAGTGATATTTGCAAAAAGAGAAGAAATTGAAAGGAAGAGGAAAAAAAGGAAAGACTATTTCATAAATTAAGGATTAACGTGTTAATTGTCAAGTACCTGTTCCAAGGCCTATCCTGAGACCTCCCAGAAAGTGGTTGGCTAGTTTGTGGTGATCCCACACTGTGAGTTCTATGCAGGCTTCTTTCAAATCTTCTGGTCTAAAGCCATCATAGACCATGGTGTGGTTGAATACTGGGTTTGTAGTCTTTGCCACTGTTCTTGTTTTTTGACGACTTTTCCTGCTAGTATCTGGAAGAACGGTACTTCAGAAAGAAAAAGCATTGTCAGTTTGTGCTTGCACAGCACAAAACATACTGAATAGACAAAAGCTGTCCTTTGCATGTTAGAATGTGACTGAAGATGCTTCAGCATAATGGAGATGAAGTCAAAGGTCATATTCTCAGTTCCCTCCAAGAAATACCGGGAGCATGTATCCACCCTTGTGCTTCAGAGGATGGGAGGGAAGGAGAAGTCAAGTGGGAAAGAGGCACAAGTGAGTTAATTTGCTGTATTACCACTAATGGCACTGAAAGCTTTTTTGTTGCTGCCAGAGATTTTCCAACCATCTTGTTGTTCCTGTCTCTTTACATTTTTACTCTATACATGGAAAGGAAGAAGGAAGAAATACAACTTTGCTTCTTGCTTCTGTCTCCTCCCACAATTTGCTAAGCTAAACTATACTCTTGCACAACCACACTTTGTTTAAATGCAAATAAAAGCAGGCACGATTTTGACTAGCCCTTCTACCAAGTAACCGAGCAGACAACATCAAAGAGTAGTGATTACACAGAAAGTTCTCCCAGTATGTTTTACTTGGTGGTATATGCTGAGCATTTTAAAGGTGTACGCCCTGCAGGATATTTAGCATTACAGTAAAGAAGAATCAGAAAGTAATTATGTGTTTTCTAATTTGAATGTAGAAAAGTGATAAGATTAGAAAACATAACAGTAGATTTATTAGGCCACCATGTTTGATGACTTCAACCACAGTTCTTACCACTTAATGAAAGAGTTGAGCCTGTTGCCTCTCAGAAGAGGAAGGTCATGGCATTCCTTCACCCAGATGTGGACCTCACCAGTAGATAGAGTCTTCTTTCCTGTAAAAATGAAAGAAAACATTTGATTAAGCCTTCTAGATCCCCTTTAAAGGCAATTTCTGTGATACAGCAGTTCCTGTCCGAGTGCAGAGGTGATATTCAGCCTAGACTCTCATTATCTCACATCTTAATTCAACGTTCCTCTCTGTACTCTTGAAGCTTCGACCTTCATCCCATCAAAGTACTGCAATATCATATCATGTCTGTATTTCTACAATGACTTTTCTTCTGTTTCAACTAAACAAATACATGCTAACTGGTCTTCTCTTTCCAAGCCTCCTAGACAAAGAGATCAGCTTGTCTTTAGTCTGTGCGATGTTAGCATTTATTGCTACTTGTACTTCCAAATCAGCTCCCTTGTGGTCTTAATACATTTGATTCTTATTGACTGACTGGCTGGATTAAAGACCCAACTTCACTGTCAGATCAGCCAGTTATCAGTTGCCAGGCAAGATTAAACCAAAGAGATTGTACTGCTATAAATTGCTGCATACTAAATACTTCTTGCTATTTTCTACTTCTAATATTGCTTGAATTTAGTGTGTTATTGTTTATTCAGCAAATCACAGCACCTGCCTGATGATTTATAATCTCTAAAATTAGTGAGAAAATAGTATTTTGTTACACATACAGACTGTATTACAACTCTAAGATTATAGCAATGAGGTAATTTCTTCTGTAAATAGCATTAAAAACAACAAAAGAACCTAAAGTGATCTTTGGATCCTAAACTGAATTCATGACCACAGTGACTTAAAAAAAAAAAAAAAAAAAAAGAAAAAAGAACTAACCACAAATTCTACTTTTATGTTAAAACACGATGTCTGAATTGGCTGAAAAACATGAAACAATTTGGGGTTTTTGTTTGTTTGTTTTTCTGTTTGTTTGTTGTTGTGTTGTTTTGTTTTTTTTTTTAAGAAACAACAAAAATCCTAAAGGCCTGACAAACCCAAACGAAGCAGCAACGCATACCTCCAACAGGGTGTGGGACATACTGGAGGGCTAATTTCATCTCCCCTCTGTTTTCTAGGCTAAGAGTCATTGTTGAAGTCTGAAATTTAAGAAAACAAAACACAAATCTCAAACTTTGCAGTTAATGCATAGAGTTTACCATGCCAAGTTTTTCATTGGAACAAGCTTGACTTCTACATGAGGCAAGATTTTTTTCTTGTTTCCTTATCCATTGGTCTTCCATCAGTTTACAGGACATGAGAGATTTTAGGGCATGTTTCACCATTTGACAGTGCCTGGTACAGCTCTTCCACTAAAGCAGAGAGGACGACCCAGGAAAGGCCAAAAGGCATGGAAGGCACATCTTTTCTACTGTGATGCAGTTATTTAAAACTAGAACATATGCTCTTTTAATCAGGAAACTTACTCTTTGTGCAACAGAATGTGCACTTTTAGAAACTGAATTCTGTAGGAATGTTTTGGTCTCATTTAATACAACCTAAAAATCAGCCTCAGCAAGAGCTATCATGCAAAAAGGCAGAAGAATGTGTCACTTCTTCATAGAGCATCACAGACCATCTATAGATGGAACATGGTGCCCATTAACTTTTGGTTACATTTATCTACCCTGAACAGTTTTAAAATCAGTCAAACTAAAACTTGATAAAGACTACTATGGCATTCTTGTTTTGTTCTACAAATTATTGAACTTTGGATTGAGCTAATGTTGGAATGAACTAGTAAAGTAACTTCAATGAAAAAAAGAAAACAAACCAAACCAGCACTAACAAAAAAACCCCTCAACAACAAAAAAACCACAAGACCCTCTTCCCCGCCACCCCCCCCCAAAAAAAAAAAACCCAAAACAAAACAACAAAAGAAACCAGAACCTCTGGCAGTGGCTTAGCTAAAAGTTTAGATTTTAACTGAAACCCATTAACAAACAAGAGGTATACAGATATGGAAGACATCATTACATAAAATATTGCACTTACTCCATATTCTTGGGAGGTTTACTTCATATTCACAGAACAAGTACCTTCAGGTATCTGTTGCAGCAACACGATGTAAGTGAAAAATACCTTGAAATTCCTACTCCTTAAACTGTGAGAAAGTTCTTCCTACTATAATAGCTAGCTACTTACTAGGCTAAATAGAAACCTCAGAACTGTACGTTCCATTTACCAGTAAAGGAGTATTTATGATTATAACCAACACAAACCACAGAACACACAAGACCAGGCCTGAATAATGACTTGGTTTTGCACTTACACAATGGAAAATACAAAACAGTTAACGCACTCTTAGTAACCTACCCTTGGCTTGAGTGGAAACCAGTTGATCTGCTTGTTGGATTTATCATTCCAGTCCCAAGTTCCTAAATCCAGCTCCACTTCACCAAGGAAGCTATTCCTCCCAAAGGTATCATTGTGCCAGACAGAGATATTAAGGCTCTGGTTCTTTAGGTGATCCTTTTCAATTTTATACTGCCAGGAGGAAGAAATGAGAAAAAAATAAAACAAGCTGGATTTTTATCAATGCCATGTCTGAAAGTGACAGGTTGAAAAAAAATGTGTCTGAGTTTACACATCCGTAACTGCTCACTTCTCCATTTCAGAACAAAACTCTCTTCAAGTTTTACTTTTTATTTCAAGCATCTTAAGCTCATACTTAGCTTGTGTTTGTTTGCAAGAAGTATACAACAATCAGTGTTCTCAATGCTGTATCCAGAGCACACAGTAGAGTTAACCCATCAATGGAAGGACATGGGTACTTCTGCAGAGCAATCCATCTCATCCTAATGTCTCTTTTGAGAGCATCTAGACCTGCGCCTAAAAGTTAAGGTGCCTTGTACTTCAGGCATGCAGTATTTCACATCTAGTGATAGTTTGATAAATACCCGCAGTATTTCATTATAGACTGGATTAAAAGTTTTCTTCTTGACAGAAGTCTTCCGTTTGCCCAGCTTGTATTTCTCTGGAAGCAGGTAGGTCTTTACATACCTAGAATTTAGACAGGCTTGTTAGAAGAGCAAAAAACCCACCTTTCCAACTTCCTTTTACAAAATACACAAGTATTTGCGTATAAAGTAAAAGAAATCCACTTTACTAGCTGTTATGTTGTCCAGCTTGTTACATTTAAGAAATGAAACAGGTGTGAAGTATAACAATAGTTTTCAAATGGGACATTAACCTCCTTCTACCAAGGTGAAATATGTTGAAATGTCTCCTCAACACATACTATAGTTAAATATTCAGTATTTGTATGCCTAGATATCATATTTACATGCTGTAATCCTATTGAAAACTTATCAAAGTATGATTTAAACAAAGAATTTCATATTCTTAAAAGTTGGAGCTCCCCATGTTAATATATGTACCAATTTATAGTAACAATTCTATATTTGATTTGGGGTGGAAAACCACGTAAAGCATGTTATAGCTTCTTTGTTTTTTTATTGGGTTGTTTAACAGGTTATAGAGATTGGAAAATACCCATCAGGTTTCATTTTCACATTCAAAGAAAAACTTTAATTACGAAATAAATACATTCTCTGTACTTACGGATCTGAACGCTGTCGCTTAACATCTGCCACTGCCAAGTCTTTACACTGGCAAATAAATATGTGGAGCTCGTTCAGCTGTTCTACATAATCAATAGCAAACTGAATGTTTCCCTTCACATCAACGTTGCCAAAGTCTGCACTATAGATGCTCATTAGACTTCCGCTCACCTGTATCATATAGAAATAGATAAATTTTCCAGGCACTGCATTTCACCAGATACTTCAAGATTAGGGTAGAAGTTATGCTCAGAATTCAGACAGTAAAGAAATCAACTGTGTCCCTTTATATGTAATAACAAAATGTAATGGACACTGTTATACAAGCTTCTCAGCAAGCAGATTAACAGAAGGAAGTTATTTGTAAATCAAAGGTGTTAGGCCAAGTTTTCGACAAAAAAAAATTCCATTGAGATAAAAGAAATAAAAATGATAGGATGCTGTAGATCTGGACATTGCCTCTGATCAGATCCTTGAAATTTTACTTCTATCTCTTCAGCTGATCTTTCTTGCAGAAAGCAGAGCCTAAGAGTTTAAAACAACAGGCCATTTGAAAATACTGACAAAATGGTTAGTGATAAAGTCTATATGGCTTAATTATAAACCAAAATAAAACACTGAAAAATAAACACTACATATGTAGAAAGAGAGGACGTACAATTTTTTTAAGTTTCAATGTCCTTCCCCAAAATTCTACTTTTCCCCATAAAGTCCACATAAACTAATGACTTTTGGTTAGCTAGTTCACTGACTTAATTACACACCCCACATACCAATACTGCCCCTTGCTTTCACTTATTCTTCCTCCCTTTCTCCTTTTCTAAATGTGTGTTCTATATAGATTGTCCCTCATTTTCAGCTACAAATGTAAACTCTTTGGGTAAAAGCCATCCCTTTGTTCAGTGTTTATAGAATATGCTGCACTTTGGAGTCCTGAACAGGCTTTAATATATTACCAGAAAACAAAGAAAGTAAAACTGATTTTATTTTTTTTAGGTGATTCCATGCAAGGGTTCATTAGCAGAGAGAGAAGGAAGGAGACGGATATGCCAAGGAAAGGGAGAGAAAAGGGAGCTGAAACAATACAGAAGAGATTAGCAAAAGCAAAGCACCATTAAAACAAGGCTTTGGTTTACATACAGAGGATAAGGAGGCCATGCCAGAGGAGCCACTAAGATTGGTTAGAGAGCTGGGACTCTTCTTGATTCTGCCAAGGGAATAACTGCTTTCTGATGCTGTATCTGTCTCTCTGTCATCACTCTACAAAAACATCACAGAAAGAAAGTCTGCATAGGTTCTTCATAGTTACATGGAACATTAAAAAAAAAAAAAAAACCACAAACAAAACAACAAAAAAAACCAAACAAACAAAACAAAACAGTATTTAAATGCAGATTGAGATTCAGTGAAACCTGAATTTAAAACCCCTTGTAGTGCAACATGAATAATTAGTAATTCTTGAATTAGGTCATGCATTTAAAAAAAAACAGTTGAAAGGGAATTTTTCGTGGTGGAAAGCCTACACTACAATGAAAAGTTTTTAAAGCAGTAATGCAACCACATTTGATTTTTGGTTTTTAAATCTCAAATAGCAATGAAAAAGTACAAAGTTAACCTTATTGAGACAATTAAGCTCAACTTCCTTACTTCATTCTCTCATGCATAAACATATGCACGTGGTAATGGTTAGGCTTCTTACCAGTCGCTTTCTGTTATATAGCAAGCACTGTGCATTCTGTGCCCTCTGCCTTGAAGGCATCTGGCTGGAAGATAATATGACCAGTAGAGCAGCACTGGATACTGTGAATGGTTTTTTGCAAAAAGCCTTTCTTGTAAGAGGGCAAACAGGGCCCTGATCTTCTATCAGGGAACTGCAGTTTTGGTTCACTTGGTCATTATCAGGTTACATGCTTACGACCCTGTTGTCTCAATGCTGTTGCTGTACTAAAGGATCGATGCTTTGCCTCCCACGCATGCCTTGCCACATTCCTATACAAGCGTTTACAGAATGCATCATCTCCCTGTTACCTTTCACCCATGAACAATTTACAAGGCTTCCCCCCTCCTTTCTACCGTTTTGAACTGCTGTCACAGACCTTTTACTAATAGATGCAAGGTTAGTAAACAACAATTTCTACACACATTAATAAAATTAACAGTTACAGAAATAAATATGTAGCATATAAACATTCTGAATAAGTCTTTATAAGATCCATTGATTGTAGCTTCTCTGGCTATGTCTATCCTGCTAAGTAAAAGCAGGCCAAGACTATTCCCCAGAGCAGAAGCCAAAGGTAAGGACTGACTAATGTCCATCCTACCTAGGGCAAGGCTCCTTGAGAGAAAAGTTGTTTTGAAAAGAGCAATTTGGGACTATCCAAAATAAATCCAGGGAGTGAAGTAACAGTTAAGTAGTGTGGATAATCAGTGCTGTTACATGGACTCCTTAAAATACATGAAAATCCTAAATCCTCCTATAGAGGAGGGATATATGGCTTTTCCCTCGGGCTATTTTAGCTACTGTCAGCAGAAGAGATACAGAACTGAAGCCAGTTCTGCTTACTTTCAACCCTGTTCTTAATTTACCCAGCAAAGCCTGCTCTCTGGCTGGGAACAGTCAAAGCTCTTCTTGTGGAGGTTTGTGGAATGTTTGGAAGTTCAGAGACATGGAATTATTAAGCACTGGGAGTGACCATATGCCTCCAGAACACATTAGGGGGAAAAAAAAAATAAACAAATCACATGTGTAAAGTTAATTCCAAATGTTAAATAAGGATTTTGTTACTATCCACAAGTAGAGAACCCTTACATTTTTAGGCTGTTATGTCTTAAGCAGAAGGAAGAGACACTGGTACTCTAAAAGACAGATTTCTTTGTATTTCTTCTTTAATTAGAAAGTATGTTATCATCAGAATTCATTATTTTTAAAATAATTTCAGAACTGAACTAGCACATAAAATGAGTGTTAATACTATTGTGACTACATGGTGTCTACAATGCTTATTTCTGATCTGTTATTTCTACCAAATTTATATTATCCATTTATTACTTCCATGCTTTGCATTGACCAGATGGTATTTCAGTGATGATAATCTCCAAGGCAGAACCAGCACACAGTATACATACATGCTATTTTTGTAGATATACACTCTGGGTTTTTTGTATGTGTGTGTGTATGTACATGCACGTATTTTGTAATTCATCTTGTGCAGTGAGCTTCATAACTCAAGACAATATTAGGACTAATCAATTTTTAAAAGAAATTTGAGGGGCAGAATAAACAGATTTCTGTGTGTGCTGACAATTTCTTAGAATACCAGTATGAACCATCCCCATACCCTTTCTGCTGTGACCAGATTGGTTACATATAGTCCTTGGGCTCTCAAGTATTTGTCAGACTGTTTCATTCAAAGCCCACAGGAGTAAGCTTTTTAATTGGCTTCTTACAGAGGCTGCAACTGGTTGTTTTTAGATGCCTCGATACCAGACAAGTCTGAAGTGAGTATCCTACCTCTAATGCTTTGAAATACTAGTGTTTTGATCCATCTACGGTGCAGTGTTAACTGCCTTAGAAAAGTATCCTGTGCATTCTTCTGAGAAGGGGCATTAGGATGGTTTAGAGAATCTTTAGTTAATGATTTAGTTAGAGGTGTAATGCATAGACACTAAATGGTTTTAAATTCTGCACTTAAGGTAAGATTAATCAAACCTGTATCACCTTATTTTAGTTATTTCAGACTTCAGAAGTGAGTAGGGTATGGCAAGGCACAGCTTATTCATGATTCTGACCCTTCAGTCCTTTTAGACATGTATTTTTAGAAAAATAATCCAAAATATTGATGCTTATGTTGCACTTACAGTGATAAAGGCTGGGGAAAGCAGCATTTCCTCATTTTATAGCACAGATATGGGTATTTTTGTGATATTTATGCCCCAAATTCCTGTGTCACATTTAAGCCTGTGTCCACTAATACACATCCCTCATTGACAGGACTCTGGTGTTTCTACTACCATCTGCTAACAGTTTGGGGGAAGGGGAGTTTGATATGCACATTTGCTATATAAATTCACAGTCATACTATGTCACTCAGAAAACCAAACCAAACCAAACAAGCATGGTGTTATCCAAGTTCAACAAGGACAAGGTATCTCCTATTCTCCAGAGCTTCCTGTTCCCTGTGACCAATGGAGCTACCTCTTTTGATTGTGGCCTCAGAGCTTATTCCAAGGCCCATACCATGACTATGATGATAACAACAATAATGATAATAACAGTCTTGCAGTCTATTATTATTACAGGCACAGTATGCTGTTGGAAATTCTGAAATTTCACTTACATAGAGTTAACAGCCTGGTACCTGAACCTACATCCCTAAGCAGAACACCAAGTTAATACCCCACTGAGAAGGGTTACCACATGGTGACTTTCTTACGGTCTTATACACTTATCTTAAATCTAGGCTCTGAAGAAAATAAATGTATGCACATATGTATGATCTGAAGAGAAAAAAGATCTATTAGTTTAAGGATATAGATTGTCTTGGGGAATAACAGCAAGCATTCAATATGCTTCAGTCTCCTAGATAAAACATGCTCTGTATGTTGAGTTGTACAGTATGAGTAAGCCTCTAAGTTACTGGACTAAAGCTTCGGAAAGGTTACACACAAGTTGTTTGGGGTCATCACCTAATTGTTACACCACAATTTCAACTCCATGATGTGGTTCAATAGTAAACTGAGTCGGCAGACCCCGGAAAGCACTACTTGACAAATGTAAAATGCCACAGTAATCAAAAGTTTTGGTTACAGTGTTTCAGAGGTGGAACTTACCTCTTCCTGTGGGAATGATGGTACTGACTTGCTCAGTCCTTTGAGTTTTTCAGGATTGGAAAACAGTTTATCAGGCTGTGAAGGTACTGTGGAAACTGAGAAGCAGCAATTTGAAAGGCTTCAAAAATATTTTTGTACATCAAAACAGTGAGATTCCGTAACAGGACACAGTTAGAAACAAGCAACCTCGAGTGAAATACACGCAATATTTCAGATGAAATGCATGCATAACCACTTTATAACTTGGATGCAAGATTTTTTTTTCACCCTCATAGGACTCAGGAAAGCTATCATTTGAAAGGCTAGTCTACTTGGACATCTTCTATAACACTGACCAAAGAACTTTGGAAGGAGCAGAAATGCTTGCGTTGCTTGACATGATGTACAAGCCCGGGTGCTGCCAGCAAATTCTGATCAAATGTGATGAAGAAAACATTTTCAATTTACCTTTAGATTTTCTTCCTAGAACAAGAATAAGTGCACTTATGCACTAACCATACCATCACTGGCATTAGAATCATCATAAGGTTCTTGTTAAGAAGTCAGTGTTCAAACCGAACTGTTCTTTTATTTACTCAGTCTAATTAATTCCAATAGGAATATTTGTGTAAATCAAGCAACATTTAGATCAGATCAAGGAAGTTTCAACTATTCCTAGTTAATTATAAGGTGCATATCTCATTAGTGATGCACTTTGCAGTCCATCTCTTCAACGTTCGTATACCTCTACTGAAGTTCACTTTTATGCTTTCACTGTACAGAGCTTAATTGCACAAGCTAGCCTTGCAAAAAATCCAGTTTGCAGTAAGCCCATGATTCTCAGAATTTTCCATGCTCTAACCCCACTTAGATTTAATAATGCAATAAAGCTCTATACTTTGGACTGGCTGCACATTGTGAAATGTACCAATACTGAATATCGCATGACAGAATTATTTGGCAACAAACAGCCAACTACAGGAGCATGTATCTATTGCATAAAATGAAACACTGCACACATAACAGAATTGTTTGCAAGGCATGAGTTAAGTTCGCAAAGCTTTTGCTGTTGAAGCTCAAATACTGCTCAACATATCAGTTATTGTCACTATGTAGTTAGATGCAGTTTCCCCATTGAGCAAGTATCTAATCCAGATGTACAACTTGTTAGTTGTTAAATAAAAAAGTATTTCAAATGTATTAGTTTAAATATCAGTGGAAAAGTCTCTCCATTGTCTGCTGGAAGAATCCTATTACTCACTTTCTGCTGCATTTTCATTCCCCTCTTGATGCTGATCAGGTTTCAGACCTGCTCAGTGCAGCATTGACAACAGTCATTCAGTAGCACAAACAGCTTTGCAATGTCATAAATAGCATCAATATATTTTATATGTGGGAAGTTTTTGACTTCCCCGGATCCCATATGTTTCTGTGGTTTGTATCACTGTCCTCCTTTGAGGAGCTGAACCATAACAAAGGTAACATGAGCGTACAAGCTAAGCGAAGCAAAAAGATGAATAATATTTTCAAGAGAACTTGCCTTATTCTGTCTGTACGGCTACCATTTTGGTTATGTGTGTCATTCTTTCAAAACATCACTCTTAATAAATTTAACTCAAAAACCCTGCCACTCTTTTCAGACACATTCCATTTTGAATGTAAAACATGTTTTCAGTAGGGGTCTTCATTTTAAAGCAAAGTGCAATATGGTACTTAAGTCTTGTTAATTACTGGGCATTGCATGCATCCTGTTATGCTACGATCATCCTATTTATACTGTAGGCCACTAACATGCAAAATGCTTTAAGGTATCTAAAATTTGACAACAAATGCAACTGTGCACACCTATTTTTAAAAACTGTAGTGCTCCAATGCAGTAAGTAAAGAATTATGTATTATATTCTATCATATTCAATATTATTTGATGGCCTTCTATTGTGTTCATTTTGACATATTCTTGGAGCAGGTTTGCTTTATTTTGCTTAGATTTGGAATTTCTAAAAGGTATATAGAAAAATTTAACAGTGAGGCATCTGTAATGCTCTAATGAACTGATGATACCAGCAGTAGCTGATCTAGCAGTTCATCTGTTGCGTAGAGTAATTCTACTTTGCTGGATTGAGACAGGGATTGTAAGAGAGGTTCCTTTTCAACTGATGTCTTCTGAAGGGTGTTTTGCACTAGCAAAAGTCATCTTGCATCTTATAATGCAACAGATGAACAGACAAATTCAATATTTACTTAGGCCAAGTCTTTCAACTGAGCTAATGTTCAAAGCTCTCAATGATTTAAGTAACTGTTTCATAGTCTGAATGACCAAAGGCCAAAATAATACACTGGTAGGTGGCACAGAGTTTCTGCAGATATACTGGTACATAACGTAAGTATATTCCTTAGGAATGAAGCATCACAACAAAATTCTTCAAAAGCATTTCAGTCACGCCAAAGTTAATCAAATCTAAAAGCACAATACAGTTCTTGGTTGTAAAAAAATCCTTCACTAGACAACAGAAGCTACTGAGAAAACAATGAACTTCCATGCAAACAAAAAATATTTACCATCTTCAGCACTAAGAGCTAATTCTTCCTTTGGATTATTATTTTTTCCTTTATCTGTGCAGGAAAAAAGTAACACATAATTAGAAATTTTGCTGTTCAGTATGATAAAAATTAATGGCAGTGGTAATCGCAGAATTAAGAGTAATGAGGACAAAAATCCCAAACACATCAGCAGGGCCATGGGAATAGTTAAATTCAAGACATGCTTTCTAGTTCACATGCTACTTCAAATGCTACTTCAAACCTACATCCAAGCAGCAGACTGGAGTTGACACAGTTTCTACCAAGTGTGCTGTTGCAACGATGTTAGTGCGTACCTAGAAACTAGTTAGAAACAAGCAATAGCATAAGTAGTATTAGAAGAGTAATCTGCCGACAGCCAACATAATTCAAAATCCACACCTTCACACTCCATTTTACAAACACAAGTTCAGTTTGCATCTTCCCCATTAGACATGAGGATAGGCAGGAAAACACTCAGGGGCAGGGTGAAGGGAGACAGGAATAATAGTTAAAAAAAAAAAAAAATATCCTAGAAGGCTGCAGAGGGAAAGTCAGGAATCAATTTTAAGTACAATCTTGTCTCACTGTATTCTCTTCAAGTGAGTTTGGTATATTAGCTGCTAGAATAGAGAGGTGAAACACTACTAAACTAAAATGATTTTTTCATACTTCCACTGTCTACTGATTTAAACCAAACAAACAGCCAGGAGACAATGGCAGTTGTTACTCATTACTGATTTGGGTAGTTGCCAATACTTTCACTATCCATGAAACAGTTCATCACTGATTAACATAGTGCGTTTTTGGAAGATGTGTCCATAGACCAGTGTTGTTTCAAAATTAACACAAAGAACTGAAAACTAAGCAGTATGAGAAAATAATTCAGTTTTACAGTACAAGCTCCATACAGCTTATTGAGAAACAAAGACAAAACCACTACTTGGCAAAGCTGTACAGAAGACCAGCATGAACATGTTTAAGCCAAACTGGGGGTCATGGGAGACACACACAAGCTTTGTGCTCACTTGAGGTGGCTGATGGAATGTCCTCAAGACTTTTGGAAGGCATTTTCCTATCTGCATTCCTTTTCAAAGCCATCAAAACAGGGTTTAATTCTTCTGAACCTGTTATGAGACAAAACACATGAACACTGCACACACAGACATGCCATTTTAAGCAAGTCACTAAAAAAAAAAAAAACAAACCATGGACTTCCCATGAGAATCTATTTTGACTGTTAACAAAGACAGTGAACGTACAATGAAGATACAAAATAAATCCAAAATAAACAAAATAATCGTCAAATTTTAAGTGTCCATTCGCTTTCTCTAAAGTCTCTCAACTATCAGTGGAGAGAAGCAGGTTGATTTATTTGCCCCATGTAGGTATCTCCATCTGTACTGACTAATAAGGGGGTTTCAGGCAATTATGGTACTTAATTGTTTAAGAACAATATAGGATAAACTCAGACTTTAGCCATTTTGTAACCATGTTGTTATGAATCAGCACAAAAAAAGTTAGTATCTTTAGTTTTTTCCTCTGTGTAAATTGATCCATTATTTTTTTTCCCTAATGAAAGTAATTGTTTCAATACTTGTGTGGCAACCACGAAAAGCCCAACAGTGGAGATATTTGGATTCCTGAATTTATGCAGTTGTCTCCAAGAGCAAAATCAAGACAGAGCTAGTTCCTTCAGAAACCTTTAAGACCTTCTCTCCTCCCCACCTTACCTTCCTCCCCATCAGCCAAGAAACCAGGCTGTATAGCGTTGCTGTCTGTAATTACAGTTAAAAACAAATTATGTTTAATTTTTCCTCATTTGTTTTGAGTTTTCACTGACTTCCTTTGGAATCTCACTTTCAAAATAGGCTCAAGAGTAAGTTGGCAGGCCCTGGAAACTTCACAGACTTCTTGAATTCTCCAGGTGAAGAAAATATTCCAAATCTTTCAGTAGCTGATTAAAAAGGTTAAATTACCTCCACTACCTTAAGCTCTTCAATGACTATCACATTCTATATACATTGACTAGATCTGCCACTCAACCAACTAATAAGAATCCTGATAAATAGACCAATTCATTTATATGGTAAATTTCCAGTGCAACAGGCAGCAATGTTAAACAAAATAGCACAGAGTAATGGTATTGTCTTTATATCCAGCCATTCCACTGATAATTATTTACCTTTGAAGACTAGCTGGTCAAACTAAAGAATGAACTCAGTCAGCCACTGATATTTTTTTTTTTTTTTTCCTCTTTTAATCCAGGATATTTAAAAGAAATACCATATTTTGAGTGTTACAACATTATTAATTTGAAGGAGCTGACTCAAGGGAGGAAGAAAAGGGTAAATCATGAAAACTGATGTGATTGATTCATGCTGCTAAACTACCCTTACTGAAGAGGCTTACCCATATGCAGTACGTGTTTGTCAAACACTTTCCAGTTAAAGGACTTAATTAGTTCTTCCCATCCTTCCCCAACAAATATTCAAAGCATTCAATTAAGAAATAAGTATCACACAGGCTTTTCATTAACGTATTTCAAGTTGGCTACCAAAAAAATTATAGCCATGTTTAACAACCCAGCACCATGAATTTTAGAAATCAAATGGCTCACAAGTTGAATTTCTGGTTCCAGAGTGAGACTCAAAGTTTTCATCTGAAAACTTGGATCCCAAATTTGAGCCATCCCCTTCCACTTCATTATCCTCATGCTGAGACGTTAGGCAGAGTTGAGCTCCTTCCAGCTGGGGGGAGTTGCTCTCATCTTTAAGTGGTGTGCTTGCTCTTCTGAATTTCAACAGTGCTTTAAATTCTGAATTCTGTTCAGAAGGATCCAAGGATGTGCTTTCATCTCTCCTTCCTTTTTCATTTATCTTGAATGCCTTGATTGCATTCATATTGGTCTCTCCTTCCAAGGGAAGATGATCAACTGAAGCCATGTTTCTCTTTACTTTTTTATTAATAGCTCCGTTTCTTTTAGAAAGATCAGAAGCTTCAATTTCACTTACTGCAAGATCATTTACTAAGGCTTTGATATTTTGTTCTGGAGTGCCCCTTTTGATAGCTATCTTCATCTGTGTACGATAGCTATGTAAAGCATCATATGACTGTGACATTGTCATGAATAGAGTCTCTTTTTGTGATGAAAATGTATGAACCCCAAACCTTTCTTGTTTATGCAACTCTTTGGATATTGGAGGTGAAGCTTCAGATGCTTCTAGAAGAAGCTTTTCTAAAGAGCTACTGAATTCACTGAACTGTGCAATATTTGAAACAGAAGTTTTTTCTACTGTTTCTTGTATTTCTTGAGGAGGATCTCTCTCTTGTCGATGTGGAGAATTCATACTTTGACTAGTCTGTATTTTACCTTGCATTTTCTTATCCATATTTTCCACCACAGAGGCTGCTGTTTCAGAGGTATCTTTCTGTAGCTTCTGCAAATTAACATCAAATACTTCATGTTCAGCCTTGGACATTGCAGATCTTTCTATGGTCTCACTGACTTCCTGTGGCAACTCTCCATCATGCTCATAGGTCATTCTTCTAATTTCCACCTCAGCAGGCCTCCATACTGTGCTGTCAGTATGTTTTGGTTTAGGAGGTGCTGTTTCAGAGGCCTCCTCCAGCAGCTTCTCTAAAGCAGAACTCAAACCACTGACCTTGGATGGAGCAACAGACTTTTCTATAGTCTCGTTGATTTCCTGCAGCAACTCTCTATCATGATCACAGGTCATTCTTTTAACTTCCACCTCAGCAGTTTTCTGTATCGTGCTAATAGCACATATTGGTTTAGGAGGTCCTGTTTCAGAGGCCTCCTCCAGCAGCTTCTCTAAAGCAGAACTCAAACCACTGTCCTTGGATGGGGCAACAGACTTTTCTATGGTCTCACTGACTTCCTGTGGCAACTCTCCATCATGCTCATAGGTCATTCTTTTAATTTCCACCTCAGCAGGCCTCCATACTGTGCTGTCAGTATGTTTTGGTTTAGGAGGTGCTGTTTCAGAGGCCTCCTCCAGCAGCTTCTCTAAAGCAGAACTCAAACCACTGTCCTTGGATGGGGCAACAGACTTTTCTATGGTCTCACTGACTTCCTGTGGCAACTCTCCATCATGCTCATAGGTCATTCTTCTAATTTCCACCTCAGCAGGCCTCCATACTGTGCTGTCAGTATGTTTTGGTTTAGGAGGTGCTGTTTCAGAGGCCTCCTCCAGCAGCTTCTCTAAAGCAGAACTCAAACCACTGACCTTGGATGGAGCAACAGACTTTTCTATAGTCTCATTGATTTCCTGCAGCAACTCTCTATCATGCTCACAGGTCATTCTTTTAACTTCCACCTCAGCAGTTTTCTGTATCGTGCTAATGGCACATTTTGGTTTAGGAGGTGCTGTTTCAGAGGCCTCCTCCAGCAGCTTCTCTAAAGCAGAACTCAAACCACTGTCCTTGGATGGGGCAACAGACTTTTCTGTGATCTCCTTGACCTCTTCAGTGTGATCAGTATATTCTTGGCATGTCACTCCTACACTACAATTAGTTTGTGATATACTATTTGTGTCATCTGATGTTTTGATTCCTACACTTCTATATTCATAAGGTTGAGATGATGAAAAGGTTTCTCTGAGCAGGTTCTGCAAACCAACTTGAGGCCTCTGAGAACCCTCAAGAGTATTATCCTTGTCTGCTGCCTGATGTCGTAGACAGAGAGGTTCAAATTCCCTAAAGAGTTTCCAGAGGCCTTTTTTGTTTTCATCTATTGATGGCACATGCATTTTTCCTATGCTTTTGCTCATTTCTTCTCTCTGATCAGCAGGAGACATGTCATAGCTCTGTCCTACTGTGCTTTCAAAGACCCTGCACCAATTTGAGGGAAAAATTGTCTCTTTCAAAATGTTTTCTTTTAGGTTCAAGCTAGATGGCATCTCACAGGCTTCCTTTCCTAACTTCCTTAGGCCTAATTTGAATATATCAAGCTCAGCTTTAGGTAGAACAACCTTATCCACAGTCTCTGCAACTTCCTCTTTAGGGACACTAACATCTAATAGAGTAGTCTTGTTTTCCACGTTTTCTATAGGCAAACATAACCAATCATCTACTGCTGTCTCCTTTAAAGCATCTTTATCTCCAGGTGTTTGGAGCAACTGCAAGGAAACATGATGTTCTTTTGATGAAACAATACTTTCTTCTATACATTCTTTAACTTCTTGCTCTGGAAGACCCATGTTTTCCTGGGATTTTGAGATAACTGGTTTTCTGTCCAGCTGGACAAAGTCTGTATTTTTGGGGTGTGCCACATTGAGACATTTCAGGGTAGGTGATCCTAGAGACAGTTGACATACTACGGAATCTAATTTCTGTGGTTTTTCTCTCTCAGATGTTTGGGTTTGTTGTTGAATTAACTCTTGCTTGCTCATGTTATCTCTCTCTTTTTTATCTTCCTTTGATTTTCTTTCATAGGTTATTGAACTAGTATTATTTGGCAAAGAAACACCTACCCTATCAATGCTATTCTGTAATTTAACGCCAGTATCCCAGAAGTTTCTTAAACTCTGGAACTGTGAAGGATCTGAAATTTGATTCTTGGACTTTTCATTCATTTTTTCTTTTAAAGACAAAATCTGGAAGCGAGGCTTCTGTCGGGAACAAGCAGCAACTTTAAGTGTTTCTTTCTCATCTTTGTCTTTGCTTTCTGGGGAAGCTGAAGTGGCATCAAATCTTGTCTGCAAATTACTGGCTTTTGGCAATTCTATGTATTCATGAACTTCACCATGAGATGGAAGTGTTCTTTCTATTTTTTGAACTTCATGGCCTGGTCCAAACTCAAAAGAGTTTTTATGTTCATTTCTTGAAGCCTGGTTTGCACAACTTAGTTCAGCACTTCTTAACATATTTTTGCTTTGATCATCCAATCCATTAGGTGGGTATACTACAGTTGGGTTTATTTTGTCACTTTCTCTGAGACCTTTCAATGCACTGCCACCTGATGCATTAGTATTGAAACTAACTTCTTTCTCTCTGTGACTGGGGATAGTTTTATCCCTTTCCCAGAATGCTCTGATCTCTTTTATTCTTCTTTTTTCTTGTATTGCCTTCTCTAGTTCATGTTTCTGAGCTGGTAGCTTGTGTTCTTGATGTTCCAAGAAACTTGGTATTTTATTTTGTTGCTTGATTTCTTGACCACATTCTCTTTCTTCAGCTCTTGTACAGTCAAATTCAATTAGTGATTTGTCATTTTGCTCCTCATTCTCTTCCCCTTTCTTAGGTTTCAACCTCTCTATCAGCTGTGTATCTTCTGAAATAAATGATGCAGGTGAAATATTATTCTGGTTTTCATTCTTTTCAAACAATAACTCTTCTGTAATTTTTGTTTTTCCACCCATGCTAGGCCCACTGTGTTCTGGAGGAAGAAGTGCTGTTCTGGATGAGAAGTCCACTTCCTCTTTGGGTTGCCTGCCTTGGGATCTGGCTGATACATGTTTCCTATCTTCAGTACCAGAACTTCTTTTAAACCAGTCTAAAACTTTTGTCACAGATTCATCAGCCACTTTCCTGAGTTCATCAGCATGTTTGTCAGGCTTGAAAGTGGTTTTAGCATCTTGCTCCTCAACAAGATCAGGCTTACCTTGTTGAAGACTTGTAGAATTGGTATTTGACACCTCATGTGATTCTGTCTTAGCAGAAAGCTGATGTTTATCTATAATGTAAACAAACTTATCAGAGTTAGGAATCAGACACACAACGCTATGAATGTTTCATCTATCTTGAAAAAGCTCTGGGTTTTTTTTTTTTTTTTTTTTTTTTTTTTTTAAAAAAAAAAAAAAACTTTTAGCAGAGAAGAAAAAAAAAAGTTCTCCATCCTTGTATTTTTTGAAAGAACCATACTGCAAGCAACAGAGTAAAAAAAAGTCCTGCATTGAGATATTCTATCGGAAGATTAATCATACTACTTTTGACGGTGCAAGCAGATAAGACTGGTTATCCTCATTCTAAAGGAAATGACGACATTGAAGAGGGGGGCTGGGCAGCCAGAGGTATAACCCAGCATATTTATGTTTAGTCCCATGAGCAAATCCCCAAGTCAGAACTGGATCACTACCAAGGACAGTTGACAGCAGTACACCAAAAAATTCTTCAGTTCTCTTGCAGACAGATTTACCAAGCCTTATGACAGGAATTTTATCCAAATGCCATCACCTCACCTTCATCATCCACAATAAAGGTGCCTATCCAAGCTCTGATCTGATTGTTAATTCTTAAGAATATGAATAGAAGATTATCTAAAAAATATTGACTACATTAGAACATTAAACCACAAAAAAAAGTGATTTAGAATTTAATTCTGCAGTATGTATCAGATTCCTACTATTTCTGTTTCCTAGTTTTTAATTCTTAGATACAAGTGATTTAAACACTAATGAATATGTGCTATATGCTATTGCATTCTGTTCTTCACTCCTATTTGTCTCTTACCAGTAAAGTTTTTGTGTGACTTTGATTCACGGCTCAAGATCTGGTTGGATTTATTTTCACATGTCTCATCAACACTCAGTTCATTGTTGCTATTTGGCAGGATATTGCTGGAGGTCTTCTGTGGAGTTTCAAGTTTCTTAGGAGTAACTGTCTTTGTCTGCAAGGTTTCATTAACCAGGAAGACTGACCTATTAGTGTCACAAGGGCTGGATGCCGATGTGTCTTCTTGTAAGCCATCTATTGTTTTCACTTGTAAAGCTGATGAATAGGTTCCCAAAGGCTTTACAGTAGGAATTTGCTTATTCCCAAATGAATCTGATTTAGCAGCATCACTTCCACTACTCTTTATTTCATCAGATTCTAACAAAGCAAACTCTCCTGTTTCTCTACCATGGTGTAGCTGTGGGCTTTGCAGAGGTTCTCCTTTACTTGTGCTAGATGAGAACCTCACTTGTTTTAGTTTTTCTAGTGAAATTTGTGTGGAGTCTTCTGCTTCTTCCATAAAAGAGCTCTTCTCAGCTTCTCCTTCAAAAATAGTCGCAGTAGGAAGACCATTCTTTTTCTGAACGTCTAACTTCTGACTAACACGAACTTCTGAGTCAGTGGAACTTGAACTTGAACTGCGCTTCAGAATGCCCCTGGGTGGTGTACCAATGCTATTAATCTTCTCGGTCTGTTTGGCTGATTTTGGCACAAAATCTTCTCTTTGTGACACAGGACCTGTTGCTTTATGAATTAATTTTCTAGCTTTTGGGACAGGACGCTTAACTAGTCCTTTCTGTGATTCATCAGTAGGTTCTACAGAAGGCTGCTTATGTTTCTCTATTTCAACATTTTGTAAGTTTGGTTTAGGTTGACCCTCTTCTGAGATTGACAAAGTTTCTGTAAGACATATATAGAGGAGAAATCATGAGTTTGCATAACATTCATCTGCATAAACAGAGAGGTATGACACAGTGTAGATCTAGAATGCAATGATTATATTGGCTTATTATAAACATTTGCAGTAAAACACATGCAGAAATTCAACATAGGTGTTGATTTCATTTGTATGTAATAGGAAGTTTTAGCAGATGAAAATCCTGCAGTTATTTCTTATTCTAGAAATATTAACTATTTGATGATTCCAAAGATATAGAGCACAGCAAATTTTTGATCAGCATTATTCCTGCAAGGGACAGTTTGCAGGGAAGGTCAGTTTTGAATATACAAATACTTCTTCAGGTTCCGAACATAAATGTCAACCTACAGAAATGGAAACAGGCTATTTTCATATGGAAAAAAGTAAAATGCAGAAATGATCTCCTGGTAGGGAGATTAAATTTTTTGTATCTCTAATGTGCAAGTCTTCTTTTTTCCTGTTAGCAAGCTTTATATGAGAGACATGAGAGTAATTTCCACATGTGAGCCTGCAAATTATTACTTCAAATGCCTGTATCATGGTATATCATCACTCATCTACCTGCTTGCAGAGAATACTGCAGGAAAGGGAGGATTCAAAAATAAACAGGACTGAGAAAACAAAGTTAACATATAAAGATCAAAGAGAGTTAGGCTTCTTTTGAGCCAATGGTAGCAATGACTGGAAGGTCATAAAGACAGCTATGCCAAGTTCAAGGAAGTTTCTCTGTTCTCTTGACTGCAGTTCAGGACAAACAGCCCTCTCAGATGGAATGCTTCATACTGACTAGAACTGTGAGTAAAGCAAAGGAAGCAAATCCATTTACTCATGTAAACAGCTATTTCCAAAATACAGGGTTTGAAATGAACTAGTTGATAGCTCCAAGTAGTTTTTGATATCTTACAAAAAGAAGAAATTAAAGTTAAAATAATTTACATATAAACTACCAAGAAATTCACAGTCATATGCTAAATAAGTATATTTACCCTTTGATAGCTGAGGTAGAGTGGCTGGTATGTTTTCTGATTCCCCACTGTTCAAGTTATCACCCGATGCAGTGGTATTAAATGGATTTCTCCTTTGCTAAAAAAGGAATGAGCATTATAGTTGCAGTCAAATTACTGTATCAGTACAGTCTTGGTAAAATAAATGAAAGTGCAGTGATTTCCTCTACCTTACTACCCTGTCAGCAAAGAGTCTGAAAGCATGCCTCTTAAATTGGATACATGACAAAAAAAAACTAAGCAATATGAACCAGGGAACTATTAGAAGTGCTAGTGATAGTCTCATATTGTTCTGTTTGAAGTCACCAACTGCAGAGATAAGCCACTGCCTAAATACACCTGAAAAATCTCAAGTTGTCGTAAGTTAAATAATTTTATCTCTAGTTCTGTGACTTTAGAGATAGTAGAACACAGCAGGACAATTCTTTTCAGTGGCCGAAGAGGTTGGAAATAATGTCAAGCACAGACAGCCCAAGTATAGCCATAACAGTATTTTAGTGCTGAATTTTGAGTGTTTTCCATTATTTCTCTCCAAGACAAGAAAATACTCATTTTTTTCCACCTTACTATCTTTCTTCCTCAAATCTTTATTTATCTTTACCACTGAAACAAAGAAACACAGAAAACATAAAAGATAACTTCTGTTATATTTAATACCAGTCATACCTTTGCTGGTGAGACTGCTTTCATAGGTCTTTCCTCTGGTTTCTCTAACATAGATGTTACTGGTTTAGAACTGCAAAGAAAATGCATATAATAAACTTCAGCAAACAGATCATTACTTTAAGCATTTTTTAAAAACAAAACAAAGATTCGTTTTTTACATACTCAGATATAACCTCTTGGCACCTAAAATTCTCTAACCTGTTCTCATCAGATTTAGAAGCAAGTTTTCTCCTTTCCATAGCAAGTGGATATTCTTGCCACTTTGTTTTATTGCAAAAATTTCTTTGCTTGTTAAAGAATTCAATACAACTTCTACTTGGCATGTCATAAACCATATTTCTTATATGTTTTAGAGTTTTGAGCAAGTTTTTTGTAATACAGCCACTCTCCAAACAATATCAGTGTTGCCATCTCCATCCTTGTCCTACATTTATACATCTAGGACTGGAATCAAAGTGGAGGAGAGTGCCAAAATCTGATAAAAATAGAGTTTTGAAATGTGTTCAAGTCAGAAAAATCAGAGGAATCCCATCACCACTACAGCAAGGTTGTGACATGTCACAGATGACCACACATTCCCTCAGAGATACAATTTATAAATTAATCTTTCAACTAAGATCCATAATATCTGTTGTTTGACAACATAAGTGAAGTAAGTTATTACTTGTGATCCAGACTAAGTATAGCCCAGGTAAGGAGAAATTAAAACAGATAAAAGAGAGACAGCTCCTATATTACATCAAGAAATATTTAATCTATTTGCAGAATGATGCAAGGGGTTTTTTTCCAAAACAACCAAAGTTTTATAGTTTGAGTTTGTCTACATCTCAGATATAAAAATCAATTGTTTTTTGAAGATGAAAGTTAGATGTGTATTTAAATACGGTCTTCATATAACAACATCATTCAGTATCTTAACTTTATCTAGAAAATGCTGGCATTAAACCAACTTACATGCTTATGATTTTGGGGATGAGGGAAACAGTACAAGGCAGGAAAGATGAGTATTCTCCAGTCAGGAGATATAACCTCAAGCTAGGAAGGAAAGCAACTCCTACAGTTTTTCCCATATAGTTGTACAAAGAGATTCCAATACTGAATATTTCTTTGGTCAGTGATCTTTGGTATGGATGAAAAGACTTTCAGATATTGATTGGTAAGTAGCAGAGCCATAACACAATGCTTTTGAGGGCAGATGTGGTATGTCAGGATAATAAAACAGCTCCCAGCTCTCATCAAGTTCCAGGTTCAAACAGGAGCTGCGTCCTCACATGGACAAAGATCTCTCCAGTCAGGTAACTGGCAACAGTCTGCTCTGCTGAGGAGAGAACAACTTCCCCATCTTCTCCAGGGTACAGTTCAGTTAACTCTGACACTTAGAAAAAAAATGTCTGGCAGCCACCATTGAAAGGCTGCCAGCCTCTAGACTGCTAAGTGTGTCTGAGAAGTGACATCACTCCCATTTTACAAATGAAAATACATTATTATGCAGAAAATAAAATGACACGATAACAAGCAGCCTGGACATAAAGCTAGGAAAAAAAATACCGGTTGTAGTCTGAGCTATAAACTTCTGTATTTCTTCCTTGCTCTTTTTGTTCAGCACTGCCTTTAAGAAATATACCACCATGCATAATGATACAAACTTAAGCTATGGGCTGATCTTGTAATGGAAACTGTCACATGGGTGAAAAAATAAACTGTTCTCATATTTCAGCACTAACTGCAGCAGTCTTTCCTATGCACACACCAGGTATAACAGATTATCATTGTTCTTTTTATTCTTCTCTGATCCTAAATAAGAAAAAAGATCTAGTTCTTAGAGCTCAGTATTGTAACTTTCAATTTCTTTTCAAAAATATCATTCTACATTATGGTTTTTAGCCTTAGTTCTAATACTTCTGTTTTTAAAGTCTGAAATTACATATATTTAAAGAAACTCTGTTCTGCTGAACTGGAGTTTGCGTTCTTGCTTTTATAAAGCACTTGAGTTTGTGTTTTTGTTTTTAAGAGCACCTGTGTGCTCCTGCACTTTCTGTCTCATCTATACCATCTATTACTTAACAGGAAAAACATGATTTATTTATTTTTATTTTTTTTAAAGACTAGGTCATGAATGCTTCAACTCTTCACTCATTTTGAACGAGGAAAATACTGTTACATATGCTAGGATGCAAGAAACTGGTAAGACATTCTTTGGTCTGCAATTTTTACAGGTGAGAGGTAACCAAGTCTCATTGAACAAACAATCCCACAATATTTTAATGCAATGCTGCTTCAGTTTTACCATAGAATAATTAAAGAGTTGTTAATTTGGCATTACATTCTGAAAACCCTGCTCTAAAGAAAACAAGGTAGAGAAGAGAAAACCACACCCAGGATCCTGTAAGTGTCACAACAAATGGTCTGAAAATATGAGTTTAACCTCAACCCATATAGACGGCAAAACTGAACAAACCGTTCCCCGATATGCTGCATTCACGAGGCTAATCTAAGAGAGCATATGAAACCAAACTGATAAATACACCCAGATTAGAAAATTCCTGCACTGCAATTCGGCAAAACAAAGTGCTGAGAACCACAGTGAAGGGCCAAACTCCACACAGACAAGATTGCTTGTTGCCTCTTGGTTCCTGTCAAGTGCTAAGGCAGGAGCAAAGCTGGAAAAAGGGGTTATAGATTTGCAGGCATTGTCAATACAGTCTACAAAGAAATGGCCTCCCAATAAAAAAAAAAAGTTTCCTGGCCTTATCCTGAAGGGTAGAGAATCCGGTGTGAGTAAAGCTAGTGCTATTTAATGGTACTCCATAAAAATGTCCTTATCTAGGCATCCCAGCACCTCATCATTCCAGAAAAGTTACATGGATTTTAAGAATTAGGGCTTTTGTGCAAGTTTTCACCTAGCAGAACTCCAGGACCCACAACTGTCACCTGTTCAATGTAGGCTAAGAGTATTTTCTAGCCTTGGGAAGAAAAGAACTTAATTTTAATTTGCAAGATAAAACCCCTCTAACATTGCCCTTTTTTGAGATTCAGCATGTAGACAGATGGTATCACTGAAGAAAAGTAATATTGACAGTCTGAGTCACACTGTGAAAACTCATTCTGTGCAAGGTTACACCTTCAAAGACACACCTGGCCTGTGAAGGCTCCATTGTGCACAGTGAGATAATGCCCCAGGAAAAAAAAAAAAAAAAAAAAAAATCATTCACAGATTTATTACTGAATTTAGATATTTGGGGTGCGTGGATGAAGATCATAATGCTAATTTTAAGAATATAGTTGTGGGCTGATTTCTGTTCCACCTAATATAGCAGTACCCTAACTTAACAGCAGTTGAACTGGCCCCAGGGCTGGATTTGACCCTGAGCAGTTTTCAAACAGATCTACCAGACCTGAACTTTTTTCACAATCAATAAGAATTAAGAACAGGATCCAGAACAACAACAACAAAAAAGTCTGGGTAATTTGTTATCTTCTGGTCCCAATCCTCAGGTTAGCAGTTGTTCAGTTTGTGCAAAGCCTGCAGGCCAGTGCTGGGCTGAAGTCCACTCTTAGACGAAGAAGTGGGGGGGGAAAAAAAAAAAAACAAAAAAAAACAAACAAACAAAACAAAACAAAAAAACAACCTGCAAAACCCTAAAACCCACAACTCCCACAAACCTACCCTTAAAGTAGCACTTTTAAATGTTTTAAAAGTCCAAATGCTTGAACCACATGCAGCATTTGGACACTAGGAACTGTGAACTCACTAGATAAAATCCTAAACTCCAGAATGATACTCTGTTTCATCCTCTTAGGTCTAGCCTTGTTGAGAGCATTGCATTGCAAGAGGAAGAGTCAATGAATTCCTTGTGGCTCTGCTATCTCAACTGATGAATTAAATGTTTGAAGTGTCTAGGCTTTCCCTTCCCACTCAAACTGGTGGGATTATTGCTTTCCCATCACTGTTTCCCCTCAATTCCTGATCACCTGCTGCCATTAGAGACAGACCCACAGTCATGTCAGACCAGTTTCTTTCGAAGTCCGGCACCAAGAGAATAGAAAGGAGTAGTATTTTAAAAACATGACACCTCCTGCAATTTCCCACATGCAATGTTGTGTAAACTAATCTAAATCATATTGAAATAAGCCTATACTGAAATCATAAGCACTGAATTGCACATAGTCCTGCCATGTTTGCTTGCTTCAGCTTTTGACGTTTTAGAAGCAAATAATCTGAGACACCTAATCAAGTATTTATGCAAAATAAGTGCAAGTAAGCATCCAGTCCATATATTAGATCACTTCCTAAGGACCACTTCCAACTGTCTCATAAATTCTGGACTGTGGGTTTGCTTTAGAGGGAAGATCTTGAGCTATTGGTGAGAGTACGAGCACGCATGAACAAGGCATACAGGCTGAATAATTTGTGGCACAATTTGGAGCAAAGGGCAGGAAAGGGCCCTGAACAATAATTATCATGCCTTGCATGGCTGTGACCTGAAATCACTTCAGGTTAAAGACCACTATTAAGTTGGTCATATTCCAAACAACTGCATACATGTTCTTAAACCTCGTTACCTTTTATGTTTTTGAAGAGAATGTCCTGTCAGTATATGAAATGTATTACTGTATCAATCACACACAATTTGTGGAGTATGTAATGGTAATAACAACATTATAAGGCTATACTACTTCTAAAGTATCATCTTTTCCTGATGTTCAAGATGATGTGCAAAATATTTTAAAAGATACATTAAATAGGAATAGGTTTTGTGCTGGCCATAAAGAAATAGCTCCATACTCTCGAAGGTAAAAGCCACTTGTAAAAAAAACTACATTCAGTAACAACTAACTGTCAGCATTATCAGCCAACTTGAGGCAGGGAGGGAGCAGGTAAGCTCTTTCTTGTGATAAGCAACCTTTACCATCCTTATTATACAATTGCATTTTTGGGGGAAGTCTATAACAAAGCAGTTAATTTGACCTTTTTTAGCATGGTTTCAGATGTGGGTAAGACAAATACCCCTTTGAGTTCACTGATAATGATACATAAAGCATAAGATAGACCAGCAATGCAAGCCAGAGTTAAGACTTACACCAACCTTTGGTGCCATTCATCGTGAACGTGCGTGCCCAGTTTGCAGACCACGAAAGTGAAATATTCAACTGCTACTAGATACTGTACAAATGCATAGTAGGAGAGAAGCCTTGCTGCAAAGAAAAAACAGATGACGTACAGAGAAGGCCTTAGAAGACAGACAAGAGATTGAAAGGTTACAGAGCTGACTAAAGCCACAACCAGAAGTAAAACAGTCATCCTAAGAAGCAGCTCTGGCTCTTACCTCACTCTGTTGACTGAAAGCACAAACAGTATCTTACACCCTGGTTCTTGCTTCCTCAGTGGTTTTCAGGAATCTGGTCATTTTCACCTGCTGTCACTCTAGCTAAGAGATCAGCATTTTCCTTTTGAAATGCAGGCTTTTGGAAAGACTTTCACAGAGAGAAAGACTTCCTACACGTACGTATTTTTAAAAGGTGACATGTCTCTCGGATATCAATTTGGGATATTTCAAAGCAAAATGGAGCTGTTTGAGATGTTTACAGACTTTAGATAGAGTGATTTAATACAAAATCCTCAGTAATTAAGAAAGTACTTATTGTCCAGCTTTCCTGCAACAGCTATAGCCATTCAGGCATATCCAAGCTGACCATCTTGCCTTACTCTTAATAAAACCTTCCAGGAAGACATTTCTTTTCTTGGTAGAATCTGAATTATTTTCCACAAGTATCCAAAGATTCTAGTTTTTTCTACCTAAAATAAGTTTAGTCTCCTTAAAACATCTCAGAGGTCTTAAACTGTGCACCCAAAAATCTGGAAAATACTAAAGAGCAATTTTCCAGCCTCTGATTCTTCATATCATCCAAGCTTAGAATTCAGGCTGAATTAGTAGTCTGGTCTCATTAAACGACTGAATGAAGAGATGCAGAGGTTACTGTCCCCCTGCATGGAGGGACTGATCATGGCCAGGCACTCTAACCAGAAAATCCTGGTCTCACTTCTGGGAACCAGACTAAATTGAGAGATGAGAACATGTGTGGGACCGTTCTATACACCACTGACAACTTTTTCGTTGAAGTAGTAAGCTGGAGATTGTTCTGCATTCAAATGTAGAACAATTAACAATGCATGACTATGATTTGTCAGCCTTTCACATGCATGAATTGCTTGGGTGATTCTGAGGAAATTTTTGATGACCTTTGAAATAAGAGGCAAGTACAATATTTTGGGCTGAACTTACAGCTCACAAGTTTCACCAGTCCCGATACATATCTACTAAGTGTAATTAAGCAGACAGCTTACCTTGAACTAGATTTCTGTTGTTGTTCTTGATGTTCCACAACGCCATGTAGTTCTGGTGGCACAAAGACTTCTTTATTAACATTGCTCACCCAGCTGTTCTTTTCTTTGTTTGATTTGTTCTGACTCATTTCAGCTAAAACATGAAACAAGAATATTGTTGTCTCCCATATGTTCATACAGGATTTCTTAAGAAAATGCAGGTATTCCTATTCAGGCCTACAACTATTTCAAAAGTCCACTATACTTTGATTATGTACAGAAGCAGATCTGGTACATTCTGAAGAACGAAGTTTTTTAATGTTAATAGAAATGTCACATACTGCTCCAGATACTTCATTTTACTACTCCAGGTGCATCTGTTTTAGACCTTAAAGTCATCCTAAATGGAGGTTTCTACAACAACCCTGGTAGAGACTGATCCTGTAGTTCTTACATCTAGATAAACATCAAAAATTCAACCTTGGTGCCCTGAGGAAACAAAGCAAAGGAGAAAGTGAAAATATGTTGAAGTATAGTTAACCAAGTCAATTATTCTCTTCCTAGAGCAGTAAACTGGAAGTTGGTCATAACTTTCATTTAAACAGGTGGCTAATCCCCTATGGATAGAATTACCACAAGAAACTAAGAAAGTAAATATAAAAAACCCAATCAAACAAAAAAGCCCCACTCATTCAGCATTTACATTTCTTTTTGGGGTAGGACTGAATCCTATTCTAATAACATCTCTCAGAGCCAAAACATTAGTTTACATTATTTCCTCTACTGCTTTTTCAACTTCTCCAACAGTTTAAAAATTAAAAATTTCTTAGTGTACAAAAATAAGCATGATTTTTATTCTCACTTTTGATATCCATAACTGCAAATAAAAATATCTTGACACCTAATGAGTCACTGAAACCAAGCAATTGCACATAGTTCCGAATGTACCTGTATGCTCCTTTGTCTAAGTAATAAGATTAGGAGTAATTAACCTTCCTTTAAGATAATATGCCTTTAAGTACTTTCCCTTAAGCTATAAATTACTATAAAATTTAGCTAGAATTTTACAGCTGATTTTCATAACCTTCAAGTCCCAAACCAGCCAAAACCACAAACTTGCCACACTAACAACCAGTAAATCTTTGCATTCTTTTCTGTTTTAGACCTTTTCTTGTTAACTTACAAACCCAGAACCATCCCAAAGTAACCTCAAACTAACCAAACTGCCATTACACAAACTCATTTCTGGGAATATAGGAATTGAGAAGCTGTAACATTGCAGGATTAGACACAGGAAAACAAGGCTAAATTGTAGTTACAAAACCTACAGAGAGTAGCAAGCTGTAGTACATTCAGAGTACTGAGAGAAATACCTTACTTGCTTCACTAGCACAGAGTGAAATCCCTTAATAGAACTTAAAAAAAATTAAGATTGCAAATTTTAGTACAATCTAGTCAAAATAATAAGAGTCTTGCCCTTCTAAATCAAAACGATTTAGTAGAACTAGAGAAGCTTAAGACAGGATGGGGGTCAATTTCTGTAAGAAAAAAAAAAAATCACTTTCTATAGCAAGAATGACAAAATAAATTAGGACTTTTCAGATTAGAAATTCAGATGCTGAGAGATTTATAATACAAATCTATAAAATTTTGTATACTATATTATATACTTTTGTGAATCTAAATCGACCGTTCACTTTCTCTCACAGGTATCATAGAATGGGTTGGGTTGGGAGGGAGCCTAAAATCATCTAGTTCCATCTAAATCATCTAAGGGACCTGAAAGGTCATCTTGTTCCAACCCCCCTGCCATGGGCAGGGACACCTTCCCCCAGACCAGGTTGCTCCCAGCCCCGTCCAACCTGGCCTTGAACCCTTCCAGGGAGGGAACAGCCACAGCTTCTCTGGGCAACCTGTGCCAGTGCCTCACCACCCTCACAGGGAAGAATTTCTTCCTTAGATCTCATCTAAATCTCCCCTCTTTCACTTTAAAACTGTTACCCCTTGTCCTATCCCTACACCCCCTGATCGAGAGCCCCTCCCCACCTTTCCTGTCCCCCCTTTAAGCCCTGGGAGGCCACTCTAAGGTCTCCCTGGAGCCTCCTCTTCTCCAGGCAGCACACCCCCAACTCTCTCAGCCTGGCCTCACAAGGACCTGCTCCAGCCCACTGAGCATCTTTGTGACCTCCGCTGGTCCTGCTCAAGCAGGTCCATGTCCTTCTCATGTTGGGGTCCCCAGAGCTGGACCCAGCACTGCAGGGGGGTCTACCCAGAGCAGAGCAGAGGGGGGGAATCCCCTCCCTCACCCTGCTGCCCACACTGCTCTGGATACAGCCCAGGGCATGGGTGGATTTCTGGGCTGTGAGTGCACATCGCTGGCTCATAGTCAGTTTTCCATTCACTAATACCCCCAATTCCTTCTCCACAGGGCTGCTCTCAATCCGCTCATCACCCAGCCTGGATTTGTGCTTGGGATTGCCCTGACCCATGTGCAGGACCTTGCACTTGGCCTTGTTGAACTTCATGAGGTTTTCATGGGGCCGTCTCTCAAGCCTGTCCAGGTCCCTCTGGATGGCATCCCTGCCCTCCAGCGTGTTAGCCTCACCACATAGCTCGGTGTTGTTGGCAAATGCTGAGGGTGCACTCAATCCCACTGTCCATGTCTCCTACAAAGATGTTAAACAGCGTCAGTCTCAACACTGACCCCTGAGGAACACCACTTGCCATTGCTCTCCACTTGGGCATCGAGCTGTTGACCACAACTCTGACCATGACTATCCAGTCAATTCCTTATCCACCGAGTGGTCCACCCATCAAACCCATGTCTCTCCAATTTAGAGACAATGATGTCATGCAGAACACTGTCGAGTGCTTTGCAGTACTCCAGGTGGACTATGTCAGTTGCTCTTCCCTTATCCGTTAGTGCTGTAACCCTGTCATAAAAAGCCACAAAATTTGTCAGGCACGATTTGCCTTTAGTGAAGTCATGTTGGCTGTCACTAACCACCTCCTTATTTTCCACGTGCCCTACCTAGCACAGTTTCCAGGAAGATCTTCTTCATGATCTTGCTGAGCATACTGGTGAGACTGACTGGCCTGTAGTTCCCTAGGTCTTCCTTTTCTCCCAAGTTTTTAAAAATGGGAGTTATGTTTCCCCTTTTCCAGTCAGCAGGATAACGTTAATTCTGATCAGTTCAAAATCAGAAAAGAAAATGGTCACTTATGTGGAAAACCTTCATTTTAAAATGCCTTGAGACAGGACATGGTGAATGTTAGAGGTATGGCTTTAAACAACTTCCTGAACAAATTAATGTAGAAAAAAAATATCCAGAAATACCTCCTCTATTTCAAAAGAGTTTTGAGGTGAAATTGGCTGCAGGCTGGTCCTGAGCTTGGAGCCTACACACACTGCCAGGCACTCTCAGAAGCAGGGTGCTGGGATGACGAGCTTTTGGTCTGGTCTTGTAGAGCGTCTCTTATGTTCTACTCTTGTTTTGTTTCTCTTCAAAAAAACCACTGCTTACTTCTGACATTAAACACAATGCATTATCTTCTCACATTGTGATTTTTTTTTAGATAAGAGTTTCAGAATATAGTACTTATCAAGTAAGCACCAAGCTTCTCAACCTTACTCAATTTACACACAATATATTGATACCTACCTGTACTATTAAATGCCTGCAACTGTTATCTGGCACATGAACACAGCTGGCTTTAACACTTCTAACAGATCATTTGAGGGCACTCACCATGATTTAGGGGCTGGTAAGTACCTTTACAGGTAACATGGACACAGGATGCCACTTCTGGCCACCAGAACTCCCAGCACATATATTTCAGTAATTATAACCACTAGCTCTAGCTAATTGTCCCCACCATTTCAAATCAACTTGAAGTACCTTTAGTCTCCTTAAAAATAAAAAAATAAATTAAGCCTTAAAGGTCTCAAACTAACACCCAAAATCTTGGAAATCCATGCTGAAGAGCAATTTCTTCAATCTCCGATTCTTTGCATGTTCCAGGGTAGTTTACAGGCCCCCAAAAATGGAAATAAGAATGCAGTCCAGGGGTGCTGAGGGCTTTTAGTCCTGCATATAAACACAACCCAGTCCCTCCTCTTAGTAGTCATCACACAGAATTCTCTAATACATGACAATGGGGGAGAGGAAAGCTTGCACTGCAGACTACATTAGAAATATCTTTCTTTGCACCATTTTCTCCTTGTAGAGATACCAATATTCTTCTTGTATTTCAGACAACAGTGTCTGAAGTTAGCTAAGTAAGACCCAGCCTTACCAAAATAAAATATAAACCAAATGCTTACCAAGAGTGGCAGGCTTTCGTCTCATGGAAGCTCTAATAATATCTGCTCCATGTATCTTATCTCTGTGCCTCTTTGACTTTGCTTCATAAAACCACTGTCCACTCATATTCTTTAGCTGAACATCATCTTTGACTTTTTCTGGTAAATGCCTGGGGAGGGGAAAAAAAAATAAAAAAATAATTAAAAAAAATACATGCACAATCTACTTATCTGTGTGAACAGAGTAAAAGTCAGGTGGGTTTGGGGTTTTGGCAGGGGGTGTTGTGGTTTTTTGTTATTTTTTTTTTTTTGCGTGATTTTTTTGTTTTGTTTGGTTTTTTTTTGTTGGTTGGTTGGTTTGTTGTGGTTTTTTGGGTTTTTTTTTGGCTTTTTTTTTTTTTTTTTTTAACACTGTCTCTGCATACTATCTCCATCTTCTGACCTGTTACTCTCCTTATTTAATTATGAAGGATGACAATGAACTGGAGAGGGAAGAGCCTCAGCCCTGTTACTCTCAGGGCATCAGCTGAAATAACTCTTAAAAAAAAAAAGCATATGCTTTCCTATGATAAACTCTCAAGCAGAGACAGCTCTGCAGAAGTTTCCAATAACTGCAGATCTTGACTTCTTGCCTTCAAAAGCCAGTTTTCCAGGGTTAAAACCAAGATATGCTTGCCTTGCTAGCTTAAGAAACCTGTGCCAGAACTAAGTCCATGGCTGTTCTGAGGTTCAGAAATGCTTAAGACTATTCATAAGGCACTACTTCTACACACACATTCCAAAAGTGCACTGGAAAGATGGTGCCGTATTTTCCATAAGTTACACAAAGCTCCTCATATGAAAGCAATGAGTTACAAAGGAAGATAACATCAGATGGAAGAAACAAAAAATAGGCTTGTGCAGTTTATTAATCTACACGTGCAACCATATACTGTGAAGCAAATTTTTAATAATTTATTTCCAGGTTTCAGTGTCACCCTGCTTTTATGAAGTATACTTTAACAGATTAGGTTGTTGCTGTGTGCAATTTGAGAGATTCTTTTCTCTCCTTGTTAGGCATAACACATTAGGCATATGCTTATACATGGCCTGGAGACTAATCTGCAGACCAGGAAAATTACTACACAGATTTAAAGAGTACTTAATCAAAAAAAGCCAAGTCTGCCTTCTCCATTTAAGTTCTTTTCTTCAGCAAAAAAGCTAATAACAGGGCCCAAGGGAGAAATCAAAATAAATGGAGTTACTTGGAGACTTTATGGCTAAACACAGTCCACATTGCTGTGGGATGGTGCTATCTTCCACAGGCCTAATGACCAACCATAGAATGTTTTGGGTTGGAAGGGACCTTTAAAGGTCATCTAGTCCAGCCCCAAAGAGGTTCATGCCAGTTTGATATTGCTCATAAGTTTAAGAGAAGGAACTTCTAGTGCAATCAAGTAGCTATGATGACAGTTCCTTTACTATAGGTTGCAGATTTAATTGTCAAGTACAGACAACCATTCACATCGGAGAAAGGACACAGAGACAGTCCCAACCCCCACACTAACATGGGCCATTCTCACCTATCACTCAACTTTTCCTTCATCTATGTATGGCCAGAAGTGAAAAGGCCTATTTGAATGCATCAGCTATATTAGAATTTGAATACATAAACTTCTTTTTGAAAGTACTGTCAACAGTCAGCCCCTCCTAGGTGTGTAAACAACTTCTGTCTTGAATCAGGTACTCAGTTGAGGCTGCCAGAAGTTGAGGTCACCATTGACAGTTTTAATGGCAAATTGCAACAGCCCATAGCATTACTGGGCCATTTAAATTTGGCTCTCCCTCTTGCTTATAACTGTGTGCTTCTCTAAAAGCCAAAATACACACTCTTCATATGCTGCAAGTCCTCTCATATGAAGAAGGAACACAGTAGTAGCTTCCCACTCTCCTCAAGCAAATATATTACTCAGGTATGAGACAACTCCTCATTGCTCAGCCAGTTTATAACCACAGCCAGCAGGAATAGTGGAAGTATGGCATGCAAGAACTTTTTACACAGATTATTGCTTCTCCCTTTCACCTTCTTTCCCACGTGTTCTTTGTCTTCTCAGACCAGATACTCCTTAGGGCTAGGGACTGGCTTTTCACCTACTTGTACAGCCTGCAGGGCAACACAGCTCTGACCCCAGCTAGTGCTTCAGGGCAGTATGACAACACATACCAAGGGAGGTTCTCTAATGGGAAGGTACTGAGTCACAGGGCAAGTATTCAATGCCCTCACCCTGTTTGATTCAACCCTTTTACCCCAGACACTGCTCACTTCTTTCCCCTTTGTATTCAACCACTGAAACTAGGGTGTGGTAAGAGACCTTTACAGGTTGGGTCAGACCAATAAATAACTGTAGAAGTGGACAGGATCCCAAGCCTCTCAGCTGTGTCAGCCTACTTACCTGCTTTTTGGACTCTCAGATCTGCAACTGATCAGCATAAGCAACTGATCAGCATAAGCAGGACAGAGATATGGATTTGTCATGGCTCTAGACTCATTAATCATCACCCATGGCCAACGCAGCTCTCATTTTAGCTGGAAGTGAATGTCAGGAACCTTGCTCCCACCCCTGCTTGCTGCTTGTGGAAGTCATAGTACCTTAACTCCACCAGCTCAACAGGCCCTCTAGACTTTGGGAGATCACTGTGCTTGCTGACAAAGGTATAAACATTCTCTCAATTTACACAGTACTTTCCTTACAAACGGCCTGTCCCGCTGATAGGACTTGTATGGTAAGAAGTGACAGAAGCTCACAGCAGCTGACTTCAAACTACTTTTGCCTTCTCATCTCAATAGCACTTGACCTTTGTTAGCTTTGCTTACTTATCTCTTCAAGAGATGTATTTGGCCTCTCAGGCCCATCTTTTGAGGAACTAAAAGCAACATAAATATTAAAGTTATTACCAGGCATTCCCCAGCCACAAACAAACAAACAGATTTCCATTATCAGAAAGACAAATAGTTCTAGAACTTGGCTTGTGGTTTACCTTGAAGGGAATTGTGGAGAAATCAGACTGTAGCCACAGTTTTCCACTGCTACATATGCCTTCCAGCACACCACAACAGGATTAGAATCTAACAGTTGATTCTACAGCAGTTCTCCAGACAACAGAAAGATTAACCATGTTGTCATGTTATTTTCCTCTTGGTGACCAAAGAGCTAGTAGGTTTCCAGATTAAGATTCAGATTGCAAGTATGTGATTAGGAAAAAATTCAATAACGGCTTCACATATGATGTAAGTATGTATTCTGGAGTCCCTCAGTGGCCTGTTAAAACGCCAGTTAGCCTCTGTTGCAGTTTTCAGAGTGAAACAGCCTGAAGTTATAACAAAGCTAGTGTCTGTTTCTTTTATATATTCTTCTATATATTAAATTCAAGAAAACGAAGGTACATAGTTAAAAGGAATTAACTCTAAAATCCTCTTATAAAATAAACCTGAGTTCCCCCATTACTTAATATGATTTTTCCACTATGCTTAAGTGAACATTTTTGATGGCAAAATGACAATTTTTTCATGCCGCTGTGGCACTAAGTACATGCAGAATTACATTGAATGCGCATACAAAGCAACTGTCTGGCACTCTGCAGGCAAACAGAAAATCTACACGTGTATTAATTGGGTTGTTTCTCCCCACCTCCAGAACATCTGATAGTGGGCTAAATCTCATGGTATCACTGCAAGGCAGGAAATCTGCTCTGATACAATCAGTCCCTACCAACCTTCCTCTCAACAAATCCAGAAGGGTTTATCTTCTGTTTTGTAGGCTAGTGTAATGGCTCACTGCATGTTAGGGCAAAGTGATAATGACTTCTGTTTCTTTTTTTGAAACAACAGAAATATATACCTGTATCTAAAACTGTTCAGCTACATCTCCTCGGTGTCTCTTAATTCCTTTCCCTGTACCCCCTTGTTCACAGTCCTTATTGAAAAACAGCACAGGATTTACAACATGTGACAACTGACATCTTTCATTGCCTTATTCCTTAATCAACAACTTAAACTGAGCTTTTTGTACAGGAGAGTCTGTGTGGTGCCGGCACATTCTGGGACTTCCTGCGACATACTAAGAAGTATTTAAATCTGGGTCTATGTTTGGCTCAAAGAGAAAGATTCATTAGTATCTCACACACCCTATTCTGATAATATGGAAAAGCACTCCTGTGACTGGTGGCAAAATAAAGGTCTTTCAAGGCCTGTTACCACCACTCTATCTACAAATTCACTTCCAAAACTTCCCTCCTGCAGTGAAATACCAAATAAGTGGAGAAAATGAAAGTAGAGAGACTTTTGAGGAACTCATCCTCAATTCTGTTTGCTATAAGTGTAACAGCAAACCCCAAACCAACAAGATGACAGACGATTTAGGTTCTGGGTCATCTTCTGAAAACAGACAAGATAAACTTTTTGTAGTATCACTTAAGCAAGAACAGGAGTAAAAGGATACTAGACCACGTGTTATAAGTGTCAGACTTGCTGATTAGATTTTTTTTCTTCTTCTTCGAGAGTGGGAAACAGCCACAAAAGCTTTACAAGGCAAAAGGAGTAATTGTTTAAACATTTCACTTTGCATGAGCATGCCTCTAATCTGCACATATCTAGGTAACACGTAGGAAAAAAATTCTGTTCTGCCTTTTGTTAGAGAACTACATCCAAAACATTTGTAACAGGCAGTCTCAGGTTGGGAATATGGATTATTCCTTTTTCATAGTAGCTGCACACATACGACTTTCAAAAAAAAAAAAAACCAGCTACTATTTGATTGGTTTAAGAAATAAATAAATATAGTTTTAAACTGGTTGAGAGCTATACTAGGAAGAAGGTTATGCAACCTTTCCCCATCCTTGTCATCATGATACCTCAACAGCAACACCACTTATTCTTGCCTTTGGGATCTCTTTGGATAGTGAGGTTTTGTGTAGGTAGAAGTAGATGGAAACATGAGAAAAAGGCAGTCTAGTTCTGTTTGTAGTCATGCATGTTCTTCCATTTTATGCCTATCCAGAAGTCTGGGTGTGTTAGGTCTACTAACAATACCCTGATGAATTAATCGCAGCTAGCATCTTGCTTTTGGATCCTTGGAGAACTCACTAGGCTGTAGTCAGCACAAGTCAATGACCAACAAGACACACTGATATT